TTTGAATGCTTATTATGTGATTGCAGGTTACCTGGAGCAGGGTTTGCTGGTGAAGGACGAGCTGAAGTTACGTGAACGGTACATGAAAAGCTTTCAGTTCAAACTGGACCTGGTGTCCATGATTCCCACTGACGTGTTCTACCTTGCCATCGGCGTCACCTACCCCGAGATCCGCCTCAACAAACTCTTCAGGTTTAACAGGTAAACAAGGGTTAATCACTGCTAACCAGTCTTTGGACTAAGTAGGAAGATATTTTTGAATTCCATGAATTTATGAACAACATTTCTTTACAGTTTAACTAAAAGCTGTTGTGATGTTTAACTCAAAGGTACAAATATGAATCTTTTCCTTTTCCTAAAAGTCAGAGATTTGATGATAAAATGAATAAGAATGATTTTCTAAGGATACTGAATACACACATAATGTCACAGAAGTTTTGGACTGTCTAACCCTCACTACTGCTATTCTGCAAACATAACTAAGAATTTCTCAGCAGTGACAAGAGTAACCTCCTATCATTTCAGGATGATGGAGTTCTTCCAGCGCACAGAAACCAGGACAAACTACCCCAACTTTCTGCGTATCTCCAACCTCGTCATGTACATCCTCATCATCATCCACTGGAATGCCTGTCTTTACTACTCTTTTTCCAAAGCCATCGGTGGGGTTGTTGGATTCATTCCTTATCTGGATTTAAGCCCCGAGGAAGCCCTGATAAAGGCTGTAACATATTAATCTGTCCTGTCCTTTCAGGTTTCGGTTCTGACAGGTTTGTGTATCCTGACCCGACCGATCCAGAGTTCGGTCGTCTGGTGAGGAAGTATGCCTACAGTATGTACTGGTCCACGTTAACACTCACCACCATTGGAGAAACACCACCACCTGTAGAGAACTCTGAGTACTTCTTCGTCGTCACAGACTTCCTGGTGGGTCCGGCCTAACTTTAGCTTTAGTATATGACTGTGTAGCATGTGGCTAAAAAAGCCCAAGCCTGAGAGCAGATGCGTTGTGGGGGATTTACCTGAAGAGGTTTGGTTGGTTTTGAAAGCTTAAACAGACAGATGGTAAGATGTTAGGCATAATTTGACAATATTTCTTTACTGATACAATACAGAGATTATAAAATAGAAAAATCTGCGTTTGCTTTCATGTTATTTATTTAATACTATATAAAACAACAATAAATAGATGTTTATGGATATCCTGTGCTTTTCTACAGGTGGGTGTGTTGATTTTTGCTACCATTGTCGGTAACGTTGGCTCCATGATCACCAACATGAATGCTGCCAGAGCTGACTTTCAGGCTCGCATTGATGCCATCAAACAGTACATGAGTTTCCGAAAGGTCAGTTAGTCTGTGATTTTTATCATAATGGTCCTTTAATAGTATTTGCATCTGAAATAAAATATTTTTTTACATCCCATTTGAGTTGCTTCAGCTTGTACATAACACCTGCTTCGCTTTTTTGTCTTTTTTTAATGACAAAAACGACTCTTACTTACCAGAAAACAGATTCTGTATCAATGCACCTGATGATCAGTACACCAGTAATGTAGCCCATCAAAGCACTGCTTGAACCCTTCCCCCATACTTCTGTTTCCAACCCAGGTAACAAAAGACCTGGAGAAGCGAGTGATCAAGTGGTTTGACTTCCTGTGGACCAATAAGAAAGCAGTAGATGAGAGGGAAGTGTTGAAATACCTCCCTGACAAACTGAGAGCTGAGATCGCCATCAACGTCCACCTGGACACACTGAAGAAGGTCTTTGCACGCTCCTAAGCACCCCTCATAAATACAGCAGAAATATAAAAAGTCTAAGCATGAGGTCTTCTCCTCTGTGTGGTGTGGCAGGTCCGTATCTTTGCGGATTGCGAGGCTGGTCTGTTGGTGGAACTGGTGCTAAAACTACAGCCTCAGGTCTACAGTCCTGGAGACTACATCTGTAAGAAGGGTGATATTGGCAGAGAGATGTACATCATCAAGGAGGGAAAACTAGCTGTCGTTTCTGACGATGGTCTCAAGCAGTTTGTTGTTCTCAGCGACGGAAGCTACTTTGGCGAGATCAGCATTCTTGCTATCAAAGGTAAGCCTTATGACTTTATTAGCAAGCTAATCCTTTCGGTCACAATGGCAGTAACTAATGCTAGAATGATAATGTGCTAATGCTAGAAAACCAAAACCTTTGGACGAACTGTTTAAAAAGATTTTCCCAAATATGTACAAAACTTTAGAATGGGTTTTGCTATTGAGCCAAAGCTGGTTTAATATTTAATAAAAGTACGTTTGTTTCTGCAGAAAACTGGGGAAAAATGAAAATCCCATAAAATGTTATCGATGGATTGGGCGCTGTTTCCTTCTGACTGCTTCTGTTACCTAATCAGCCTCGCGTCTTCTCCAACAGGCAGTAAGGCAGGAAACAGGAGGACAGCTAATATCAGAAGCATCGGTTACTCCGACCTGTTCTGTCTTTCCAAAGACGACCTGATGGAAGCCCTGACAGAATATCCGGATGCTAAAGCTCTGCTCGAGGAGAAAGGAAGGCAGATTCTAATGAAGGATGGGCTGCTGGACCTCGAGGTACAGTCACATTATCTCGTTTAGAAACATTAGCAAACATCTAGTCTACAGAAATAAAAACTTTATTAAAACGAACTCTGTCCTCCAGGTGGCAGCGCAGGGCCCAGACCCCAAAGAGATCGAGGAGAAGGTGGACCGGATGACGAGCACCCTGGACTCCCTGCAGACCCGTTACGCCCGGCTGCTGGCCGAGCACGACGCCACTCACAGCAAGCTCAAACACAGAGTCACCCGGCTGGAGAAGAAGTTGGTGCCCCCACAAGCTGATCCGTCAGGTGAAGCTCCACCCCCAACACCTGAGATAGAGGCAACCAAATAAGAGGAGAAGTAAGGAGAAGACAACAAAGAAGAGGACTGGAGTGTTCGATTTTAGAGCTTGAGTCAGCTCGATGGGTGGAGATCAAGATGTTTGAACCTCAGGTGGAAAGTTGGAGGAGTTTCTGTTAAAGTTTTGAAGACAAATTGAAAAAAAAGAGGACAAAATCTGTTTCTTGCATTCAGATTTATGTAACATCCCTTCACATGACATCTTCTAGAGATAAACTTCTCTTCGTAAAGTATCGACCACCTGCTGGATTTGTGATGTCAGCACTTACAACTGGAAGTGGAGCTGACTCCAGATTACACTCAGAGAGCACAAGAAGGACAACTAGGCCTCAAAAGAAACTAATGTGACACCATGTAGTACTGTTTCCATGTTTAAGTTGTAAAACATTGTAACTGTAATGTATATAAATAATGAGCAGTAACTTTTCTGGATGTTACAGAGGTTGTTCATAGTTCAAGCTTTTGCTTTGCAGCAGTGACTCCTAAAGTGCGACGCAGTGCCTCCCAGTGACCCTTGAAAGAACTGCAATGTTCAATTTTGTAATTACAAAAACATTTTTTAAGAGATGATTTAAAAACAGCCATGGGATTTAAATTGCACCTAATATTTTGTCATTTACAGTTCAACTAAAGCAGTGGCTATCACACGGGAAAGGGATTTAAAGCTTTAAGGTGAATTTGGGGTGAGGTACAGATGATTTGAAGATCAGCCCAGTTTGTCCCAGGGAAAAACCCAACATTATTAAATGTGTACATACCAAAAATGGTCATACATATTGGTTTGTGAAGACTTTGCTGTTTTCTACCACAGCATACTATAATCCTTTCTGACTGTAATAAATACTGTCATTTACTAAATAAATATTTTTTATTCATTAAGACTTCAAAGTATCACCTCCCCCCATAAACACACTGGGAGCATGTTTACTCAGGTCAGAGTGGGAAGTAGGCGCCACACAATCAGAGTTGCCCCCTGCTGGCTATTAGAAAGAATGCAGGTTTAACACTTAAGCGTTGCATCATTTTTCATACTGGGCAGCTGCATCCATCTTCACATATACAGTCTGTGGTTAGCTGCTGCACACCTGAATAAACCCCAGACTCAAAGCATATAATGCTCTCTACATCCATCGCCTTTTTTATGCTGCGACTTGTGCTTTTTAAACTATGCAAAAAATATGAATGATAATTATGTTGAATCTGGAACAAAAAGCTGAAATAAAGATATTTTATAAGAAAATCAGAATGGCTTGTTTCATTTCCAGTGCATTCTCCTCATTATTATTATTATTGTTGATTAAAAGTACATAGAAATGTTGATGAGCTCAGATGGAAACTAATGTAGGTAAATGTGCTGTAGGAAATGTTAATACTACCGCGGAGCACGGGATCGATAAAGTTTGATTTGTTGATCACATTTTTGTATTATTGATCTAAGACCCTAGCCCTAAATGAGCTTTTTATATTGTTAATAAATTAACAACCAAAAAGCAAAAAGTAACTAAAGTTGCAGCTGTGCAGTGACACGTATGTGTGTGCGTTTGCGTACACGTGTGCGTGTGTGTGAGGTTGTGGGATATGTAGTTTTACTCCTGGATAAATCGCTAAACAGACGACGTTTGGTTGTGAGAACTACAAGAACCGGCATGCACCGCGTTGCACTACGCATGACAATCAGGCACCTGGCTCCACTGTGCTGAGTGTTGAGGTGTGTTTAGCTCATAACTGCTCATTAAATGAGGTTTTCTGATTGTCTTTGGAGTTTAATATTAACATTCCGGAAGCTTGTGTGGATAATTAGAGTTTGGTGAATGTTGTTTACCGGAAGTGACGCTTGTTTCCGCCTGGTTTTTCTTGGAGTTTGAATGGCAGTTGGGTTGCTGCAGCTAGCCGGCTAGCAGCACTTTTGAAGTGAATTTGGCCTTTAACGTGAGCATGCGCGGTGTAAACGTGTTGCGGTGTACGTGCTCAGGTGCAGCGGTCAGGTGCACGGGCGGAGAGAGACACAGTCCGGCTTCGTGTCGCTGTGACTCAGCGGGACAGCTGGGGTAGTCAGGTAACCGCTAAAGACCCAGCCAGGTGTCAGGTAAAGCTGTCAGGCAGCTGTGAGCACCTGAGGAGGGCAAGCTGAGGCTGCGCAGAGCCTCCGGTGAGGCTGAGGCAGCTCTGAATCACGTATAAAACCCCTCTGCTGCGTGGAAACGTGCCCTAATGCGCAAACCAGGGTCCAGCCAAAAATCTGCTAATTCACCTCTGCAGCATTAAATCCACTAACAAAGGCACGCTGCTGCTGCAGAGACAGATAAACATGAATGAGTGGCAACATCTGCAGACGTCGGGCTCAAAGCTGAACTCCTAAAGTTCCTGAGAGAGGTGATACCTGGTTAAATGCATGCAAGGCCAAAAGTACTGTAATAGTTGAAAATTGTACATATATCAATGCTCTCATTCTATGTCTACACCAGAGACCTCTCAGAACTTCTGTTTTTACTGCTGCAGTGTTTTCATTGGATTTTCTACTCGTTTTCTAAGCTTGTTGATGTATCCTTGATAAAATGCAGTATTGGAGTATTGGTGTGTGTTTGATGGTACAGAGGAAACTCTTGTGCTGCTGCATCCATACAAAGTCAGGCAGATCAGTGAAAAGTTCTCACCTCAGCCCCAGCTCATTGTTTGTGTCCAAAAAATAACTTTTGAGGATTTGATGAAGCCATCCAGTATTTGCACCCTCAGAGTAAATCCTGGTGGAGGCTGAGTTGTAGTACTGAGAAAATCTCAGGTGCATTGTGGGTAAATTGATAAACTGTGAATCCTTCTTTCAATCATTTCTCACATATGTTGCTCTCTGCAGAGGCAAGAGGCAGTTGCCATGGAGCCCGCCTGGCGACAGCAGGGCCGCGGGCGTGGCCGGAGTCAGGAGGCTCAGGTTGAAAGGTCGCGACCCCTGCAGAGGGAGAGAGAGAGGCCAGGCACTGCTACGGGAAGAGGAGTCAGGACGAAGACGGGCTCTGCGCCTGAACCTCCGCATGGTGATGAAACGCTCCATGGACCAACTCCCCCTGTCGGCTGTGTGGCTGGTGTGAGTTTATTAATTCTTCCCTGTGGTCCTCAGGTTTGGCTGTCCAATCCAAGTTTGAGGAGATCAGGAAATCCAACCAGGCTGCTGCTCAGCGATTGGTCGAGAGCCACTTCAGCTCCTCCTCTGATGATGAAGACGACAACAGCATCGATGATGGAGACCACAAGGAAGGAAAGAGAGGGAAGATCCTGGCGTCCGCCTTCACCACCTACACCGACCAGACAGGTGAGCAGCCAGGCATTGCCGTGGCAACACCACTGTGAAGATCAACTGGTTAAATTGATTGTTTTACCAGTGTTTTTACCGGGTGTGCAGATGTTTGAAGACAGTAAGGTGAGCCTGATATGAAGCTGCGCAGATGTTGTGGTATTCCCGCTCACTCCCTGTGCGTGCGTGCGTGCGTGTGTGCGTGTGTGTAGGCGGGGATGCCACTGGCCTGCAGAGGACCGGTCAGTACGTCAGCGACCTGTTTCAGTCCGGAGCGCTCACCTGTCTGATCTGCATCGCCTCGGTGAAGAGGACACAGGCGGTGAGACACGTGCACACACACTTTGATCTCCTGCTGTGTGTTGATTCAGCTTCACTGATCTGACGTCACCTCTCTGGTTTCTGAAGAACATTTAACGACAGCTTGAGGCCGATTTTCTCCTTTTGTCACATTCATAGAAGCAGATCTCACAGAAAGTCAGAAGCATTGTAATCATGTGGATCTCAGGTTTTTGTGCTTTTTAAAAAGAATTGTTCCATCTTGTCTTTTTCTCTTTAGTTTTTACTTCTTGATTGTATTTATGTAAAAGGTTTAAGTAAGTAGTTGGAAAAAGTAAATATCTTGGAGAGGTGTCTGGGGTCATTTTGGTTTCTTCAAGATGTTTCTTTGATAATTTCTCAGACATCCTCTGTGTAAAAGTTAGTGAACTATTTTTGACCCTGGAGACTGTTTGCTTTCATCACTTATTTCCTTCTCTAGTCAACCACTACTAGTAGATAATACTACATTGCCCATGAGTCTCAGCTTGTAGTGACTTTTTCCAGTATTTCTACAAACCTGTGAATTTGTGTGATTGGCTGGTTGTAATGTGATGTGCTCTTTACACAGTTTGTTTTAAAGTCTTATAAATATTAAAAGGCCCAGAGAGGGAGACCACTTTAGACTGAACTCTGATATCTGGTGTGTGCGTCCAGGTGTGGAGCTGCTCCAGCTGTTTCTCCCTCTTCCACCTGCCCTGTATCCAGAAGTGGGCCAAAGACTCGGTCTTCCTCGTCTCCTCAGTCACCGATGAAGACTTTGGTCAGAAGCAGCACCCGTGGCCCTGGTGAGGAACAAAAGCCCTTCCACTACCACTATAGCCCAACGTGATAAATCCATAAACATGGGCGAGGGTTAAATAATATTTGGCATGAGGGTGAATCTTCAGTACAATTACATCATTTTAAATGGAACTAATTACTGATAAGCTGGTAAAATCACACTGATAAAGCTGTCTAACCAGAGAAAAGTTCTGTGTTACATTTGTGTTTAAAATTGATTGTTGGAAATAGTTGGGTTTTTTTGGTTTCCCTCTTTGTGGTTTCTGTTTACTAGCTAAACTTGTCTGTATAATGGACTCGTGTTTTCTAATGTTTCATTTGTTAGTTAATAAAAAATCTCACTTTGAGATTGGGCGGTTGTAAGGAAATAATCATCAGTTAATGCGTCTGATTGTCTCCCCTCAGTCCAAAGTGCCGTGCAGAGTATCCACCCAGTGCCACCCCCAACAGGTACGTTTGATTTCTTTATCCTGTGTGCCCAGTTTTATCGACCCGCCCTTTAGAGTTACCACAGGCCACGCTCAGTGCTAAATCCACTCTGCAAATTCACTTTAACAGTAACATAATCAAGTAGCATTAAAAACAAACATTAAGCGATAATGTGGTCAGATAATTGCATTAAAACAGCACAAACACAGTGCAAAGGTTCAAATCATGGGCTCCAGTTACCTAACAGCTATAGCTGCCTGTGTCATTAAAAGAAAACACACCAATAATAATGCAAACTTTAAGCTTTAATACAATTTAAACAGGTGAGTTTTTTAAAAAGTAGAGGACCAATAATAGAGCCCTGTGGAACTCCACGAACACTCTGTGAAGCTTCTGCAGGTTGTTTCGGCTGTACAGCTGTTATAAAGGGGGTATGAACAGCTTTCCTGGCTGTAAAGTTGGATATTGTAACATGTCAGCCTGTGGAGAGTGAGTGCTTGAGTTCATGTTTCATCCCCACAGGCTGAAGCAAATATGGCTAAAGTACAGATATTTGATATTTTGACTCAAATGTGTTAAATATAAATGTGAAATGTTGTTTTATTGAAAGTATTAGTGAGAGCTTGCCCCACCGACTCCTAACAGGCTCCAAGAATATGAACACAGACTTTTAAATTCTTTGGTTTTAAGGTTTGACTTTCAAATATCTGACGTTCATTCAACACTTTGTCCCTGCTGGAGGTGTTACACGGTCGTTGAATCTATTAATGTCAAAATCCCTACAGAACCTTCATGCGATCATTGTGAGGTGATGCTGCTTAGTGTTCCTGTATCCTCAGTATCGGTTTGTCTTTCCACAGTCTTCTGTTTTATTCAGTTTTCAGTTCTTTCTGGAAACGATTTTATAACTTGTACTCTTTTTTTTTTATTGATTTTTTTTATTTTATTGATATTTTTTGTTTCCTGTGTTTAATCAAAGTTTCAAAGTTCCGAGTTAAATCCATCTTGAAGCAGACAGAGAGCAGTAAGCTGTTTAACAGATTCCATGGCTGAACACTGAAGCACTGAAATACACTCTGTTCACTCAGGCCCATGTTAACATTTCCAGCTTTACAGCACAGATAAACATGTTGACATTCTGACACAAAGATGTTTTGGTTCACTTGTTTCAGTTTAAACTATATTAAGGCTGGAAGTTGTTGTTGTTGGGGGCGTGGCCTCTTTGACTGACAGGTGGCTGCTGTTGTTCGTGCTGTTGGTGCCTTTTGGAGCTTTTTGTAATGTGTTGTTAATTATAACAACGGGCCATTTAGGAGTCTGAGCTCCAGTTGTGGGAGGTTATTTGGACGTGAGCTCTGACGAGTGAAGTGTCTGTAACTTGCCACCTGCTGCAGTATTTATCGCCCCATAGGTTGGAGAGAAAGAGCAAATGTGCATCACTTTGTTGTATCTCATGTGAACGCTGTCCAGCTTCACACAACGCGGCTGTGCTGCTGCTCTCCAGCAGGGGGAGCCACACTCCACACTGTAGTTTCATGCTGTTTGTGCTTCAATCTCAGTATTTACTGTTAGAAATGCTTAATTTATATTACATATAGTTTTTTTGTAATTATTTGTCATGGATTCATTTTATTGTCTTTTGAATTTAGGTTTTCAGTTTAGTTTCAGTCACTTTAAAAGTTTAAGCATGTCTCACCTGTGTCTCTTTGTGTCTCTGCTGACTGGGTTCTTCCCAGCTGAGGATTTTCTGTCCTTAATCTTTTATCTCAGTAAATAATCACTAATCAGACTGTGGGAAGTTTTAAACACATCACATGGTACAGGTCGGTGTGTTGAAGGCGCTGAATTAAAAAAATAAATGTTGGCTGTAAACTTCAGAGTTTAAAAGCTTTTTTGTGGTGTGTTCAGGTACACGTGTTACTGTGGGAAGCTTCAGGATCCTCCAGCTGATCCGTGGCTGGTTCCTCACTCGTGCGGCTCCATCTGTCAGAAGGAGCTCAAACCTGCCTGTGGACACACCTGCCTGCTGCTCTGTCACCCCGGTAACCACCCACACACACACACACACACACACACACACACACACACACACACACACACACACACACATACACATAGAGGATAAATGGAGTTATCCTGGAAATCCTTAAAAACTGGGCCTTGTCCCCAGAGGACGAGCAGGTTTACAGTTTTGCATCCTCAGTAAACACGTCACACAAACTGCTCTGAGCTGGGAGCGTGGAAATGTTCCTAAAGCTGTGTGTTTCAGGCCCCTGCCCTCCATGTCCAAAGATGGTGTCGGTGTCTTGTCTGTGTGGCAAAGCACAGCCCCTCCCCCGTCGCTGTAGCAACAAGGTGAGCCTCGCCGTCTGCAGGTTTACAGCGTGCTGTGGGTGTTGGTGACATGCTCACTGTGTGTTCTCTCTGCAGGCCTGGTCGTGTCAGCAGCCGTGTGGAAAGTTGTTGCTCTGCAAACAGCACACCTGTTCACAGCCGTGTCACACAGGTACACACACAGTCTCTCACACACACACGGAGTCATGTGTGAAGCTTCACTGTGACTCAACACAGTCCCGAGTGAGCTGTCCAAAATGCCCGCCTGAAACCCCCCCTCTCCTGTGTGTGTCAGAGTGTGCGCCCTGTCCCAGAGTCAGCGTTCAGAAGTGTGTGTGCGGCAGAGAGAAGGCAGAGAGGCCCTGCGCCAGCCCCCGCTGGACCTGCCAGCAGGTGTGTTTGCAGTGTGTCAGCAGCAGCGCACAGCTGGATTTGTGATTGTTTATTGCCAGAATCTGCAGATGTTCCAGACGAGATGTTCTGTGTGGTCTTTGCTCGCTGGGTCAGAAAGTGTAACATGAGTCATTAAAGCTGTGGAGACGGTGTGGTTCGTCTGATGTGTTTAGTTTTATTCTGAGAGCAGGAAGCCCCGCCTCCTCTCACTCACCTGTCTGTCTGTCGCAGGTGTGCGGCGCTCCGCTCTCCTGTGGGAACCACACCTGTGAGGAGGTGTGCTGCGATGGCGACTGTCCTCCATGTCCTCGCTCCATCAGCAGGACGTGTCCATGCGGAAAGACCAGTGAGTGCTCACGCAAACACACACAGGTTTCCACTCCATGCTACTGTTTTCTAAGTGTGTGTGTGTGTGTGTGTGTGTGTGTGTGTGTGTGTAGAGTCGTCTCTGCCGTGTACAGAGGAAGTGCAGCCATGCGGCGACACGTGCGATCGCCGTCTGGCATGTTTGAAGCACACCTGTTCAATGAGGTGTCACCGAGGGAGCTGCGAAACCTGCAGACAGGTCTCTGACACACACACACTGATCACACACACACTGATCACACACAGACACACACACGCTGAGCCCCGCTCTGTGTCTCTGCAGGAGGTGGAGAAGGAGTGCAGGTGTGGCCGATACAGGAAGCAGATGCCGTGTCATAAAGAATACCTGTGCGACTCCAAGTGTCCCAAAACCAGGAACTGTCAGAGACACCAGTGCAGGAGGAAGGTCAGTCCACGTTCTCATTAGAAGCTATCAGTCTGCATGAACTCACACCTGGCTGCAGGAGATGCTTCACCTGTTTCAGCTCTCACTGGTTAGCATCACATTTGTGAAGTCTGGGCTTCTAGATTATTGAAAAAAAAAAGATAATCAGGATTATTTTAGTCATTAATGTGGATGAAACAATTCAAATGAAGGCGAGCAGAGCGGCACAGTAACCAGCAGAGGGAGACAGAGCTGCAGCCACAGTACACACTGTTAGTAATCCTCCTGGTTCACCTACAGAAACCTTTCAGCAGGTTCCCACACACGACTGGATCGACTCCCAGGATAAAATAAAACTTTCTTTAAGGTTTGTGGTCCTGGATTTAATCCGTATGTGGGAAGCTGAGCCTTGGAGCTTTCATCTTGGCTCCAGATCAACTGAACTCAGCGAATTTGAGTTTTTATGAAGCAGTGAAACAGCACGGCTATAAAGAAAGCAGGTACACTTGATTTATACCACAAAACAAGCAGAGCTGCACAAAGAAATCATCACGTCACCAGTAAAACTCCTACACATGGCCTCTAGGGTACAAACTGTGAGTCTGCACAGGTGGGAATCAGAATAGTGAGGAAGCGATGCAGCAGGCAGGAACAGTTAGACCCAGAGGATGTGTGTGTGTGTGTGTGGATCGCCCACTCAGTGTGTAGTGTCTCAGATTTGTTCCACTCTGAGTGTGATCACATTAATTTTCCACCAAATCCTCTGATGGTTCCTGCAGTGAAACATCTGGAGCCTCTGGAGTTGTTATCTTCTCGGTGTTAAATAAATGATTTTCCATCAGCTGCGGGGACGCTGGTTGCATAATGACACACATAAGACCCTTCATACCTCCGCCTTCCTCTTCTCTGGTGGATTAAAGGTCTCGGAGAGAGCGAAGGCGAGCTCAACGCAGGGTTGATGAAACGTCTGAGCAGTGACTGAAGGACCCACTCGCAGAGGGAACCCCACGCTTTCGTCCCGGTGTCTCGCTTTGATCGTGACGGCAACGATGTCTCGTTTTTGTGGCGTAAATGTCACCCTGATGGCATCGGATCAGTTTAATCTGATAGGAAAAGGTTGTCTGACGCCACGTCTGACATGTGACATGATGAGGTTTAATAATCCGCCCGCTGTCAGACCCGTGGGGCCAACCTGCTCCGATGTAAATGGGCGCTTTCAGTCATTTTAATGTTCGCTGTCTCATCCTGTGGCTCAGCCTGTTGTTTGGTACCAACAGCATTTAAATACTTAATGAAGCCCAAACAGCTGCAGATTTTCCCTTTTTATTCTGGCACTGTAAATGTTATTGCACCTGCTCTTTTATAAAACGGTCTCGTTAGCTTTCATTTTCCCATCAAACTCCTCGTTTTATCTCATAAATCTACTTCATCTGTTTGCTTCTCAGCAGTGAGCCCCGCTCTGAAAGCCCACAGTCGCTCTTTGTGTAGTTCAACAGCGTGTTCGTAGAAGTAAGAGATGTTTATGAAGCTGTGGAAGATGGTTAGCAGCAGCTGGTGTCTGCCACCTGAGACCCCTCTACTCCGTCTGACCCAGCAGAGCGTTTATAACGTCAGCGTGAAAATCTCTTTCTCAGTGGAGACGTGACATTTACAGGATTTTAAAGCTGGAAAAATGGATTGTGCCAAACTCCAGTCCAGCTACGTGGGAGTCCCAGTTACATCTGAACTCACCGAGGCAGTCAGAAACCTGCAGCTTCTTCAATGTGCAGAGCTCAAAACGGCCGGTTCTTAAAGTCCCGGCTCCCTGCAGAGGAGCGGCCGTGACGTTAACCTGATCAAATAAACACTGAGTCCACACGCTTCATGACTAACAGAGTGTAGACAGCAAGTACAAAGTAGTCGGCTGATTAATATAACTGTTATTAATCTGGAACATTTGGGGGCGGAGCTCATACGACCTTTGATACATTAAATCACAGGAAGTTCCATTTCCATAATAAAAGCTCCTTATCACCTGACGGAGGCTGCAGGGTGGCGGGGGCCGGCGCTTTCTCTCGTGAGATGACCTTTAGGGTGCAAAACCCAGACGAGCCTGCATCCGCCCTCCACCTCTGTTAGTCCTGTGTGAACAGAGTTACTCGTAGCTGTGTGAAATAACACGACGTGATGCACATGTTTGATGATTTTGGCGCCAAACAGCAGAGCAGGACGAGCTGCGGTCGCCTGTATTAAAGAAGTAGAAGAAGAAGTGCCTCAGAGATAAACCTGTTTCCCACGATGCTTTGTGTTTCAGTGTTGCCCCGGTAACTGTCCCCCCTGCGACCAAAGCTGCGGCCGAACCCTGGGCTGTCGGAACCACAAGTGTCCCTCAGTCTGTCACCAAGGTAAGTAATCTGATTACATTTAGATTACGTGCAGAATCACAGTGGGATTCAAATCAGTTGGAATGAATGGATCAGTGATGATCATTCGTTTGGTAACAGGCTCAGGTTCATAGGTGATAACAGCTGCAGCTCCTCTCGTGTCCACCGGAGGCTCCAGCAGTCAGACTACCTGTGTTAAACGTCGCAGCAGAAACAAACACGTTTAGGGGCCAGCAGTAAAGAAAGTTTGAGTCTCTGAGCAGACGTGGACGGACCTGAAACTTCTCAACACACACGTCACATCACATTCCTGTCTGTCAGATAGGCTGTGAAGTGTTGAAGGATTCACAGCTGGATGAAGGTGAGAGGTCAAACCGAGAAGTTCTGGCCTACTTAAGAGACTGTGTGTGTGCGTGTGCGTGTGTGTGTGTGTGTGCGCTGACATTTCTTCCAGCTGATAGCACAGGAGAAAACACACACTCTCTCGAGTCCTTGATAAAGGGAATTAATGACGATCAGCAGGAAACAGAGGTCAACTTTCTCCCAAACATTCAGCTCTGTGTGTGTCTGTGTCTGAATAACAGACAGCTTCCTGCGTCTATTGTTCCCTGATTGGGCGATAACAGATAATTTATTCATCCATCCGCCTCTTGATTGGCTGAATAGATTAAAGTCAATTTATTGGTGTGATTGCGTGCTGATTGGCTGCTCTGACCTTTCAAGAGGGAGCAGGGAGAAGGTTGCAGCACTGCCAACGCATTGCCACACAGATAACAGCTGCCTGTGTGTGTGTGTGTGTGTGTGTGTGTGTGTCCCCTCACTCGGTATATTTTGACCTGCAGAGGTGAACTTTGATATCGTGACTGGTGTAACTATGGAAACTATAAAACCACCCCACCCTGTGTTTACTTTTTAACATCACTTCAGTGGGAACGTTGTTTCCCACAGATGTGGATCCTGTTTGTGGTGTTAGGGGAGGACATGTTTTCTTCAGTCAGTGATTAAAGTTTGCAGAGATTTTAATTGCTGATTTCTTTGCAACAAGTAAATAACAGGCCGACATAATCGGCTGCCTCCTTGCTGGACTGCAGGACTCCACCACGCTGCCCTGGTTTCAGGATATTTCAGGACAGCCGGTTTTGTTCGGTGCTCTCAGGACCTTCATTTGGTAGGGGCACAGGTCATCGAGCAGTGACCTCTGACCTGCACTTGGGTAGTTTACGTCAAAGTCAAACCGGCTGGAATGCACCTCCGAGGTTCTTGGCTGCTAAAGGGTTGAGTGGTGCTCGTGGTTTGGGTGGAGTTGCAAGTTTAGATCTTCATGTGTGTCGAGATCTTGAAAAAGTCAAGAGAGGCGCAGAGGGGAAGTGAGGGGTTGGCGTCTGTTCCAGGCTGATGGTTTCTCTGGTTGACCTGCGTTTGTATCCATCAGCTGCACGTGGTGACAGCAGGATGTCTGGGCTCTCCCAGGAAGACGCAGGTAACCAGATTCAGCTGGTTGGTTGAGTCTCTCATCCTGCAGAGGAACTCAGTCTCGGACTGCAGCTGGTTGTCTTTGTTCCACTCTGCGGCCTCTGATCGGCTCATGAACCTGTTCTAACCTCTTCACATCAGCCCGAGCAAACTTTGAGCTTCCAGTGCAGAACAAAACTAGCACCACCAGCTGCAGCCCAAGAAGATGTCCCCTTTAAGTTCAGCCTACATTACTTTGTCCATCGATGGCACTACAGATGTTCTCCTGCCCCACAGTCTAAAATAAGCAGAGCTCCTGGTTTGGACGTCTCTCCTTTAGAAGGAAAAGCATCTGCTGTTCAGGCTTTATCTGCACAAGCTGTGAGACACGAGTCTCCCACTCAGTCCTGTCTGTTGCCAAACATTCGGTGTGTTATTTTAATGGAAGTCTTCACAGCAGTGAGTGTCGACTGACGCCGTGCAGGCAGACCTGCCAATGTCTCACAGAGCAGCAGCAGTTTATCTGATTGCTGAACAGGAAAGACTCGTGTTTGTCATGAATGTGTTTGTAGTAATATTACTAAACATTTTAGACAAAACCGGATGAGGGAATGCTTTCTGTAATCATCGAGTGGAAGAAGATATATATATCTACGAGCCCCGGCTCAGACACTTCACCTGCCGCCTACTGGTGACGGCCAGAGGGGCCGATGCCGCGATATGGCAGCCTCGCTTATATCTGTGTGGCTTACAGGTGGGCGGTCTGCTCAGCTCAGTGGAGGATTTTTAATAGGAGGATATGATAAACTCTGTTACTGATGATCACGTTCCCCCCGGTTTATCTGAAAATGAGTGAATTTGCCCTTTAATGTCACCCTCTCCGACTCAGGCAGCTGTTATCCGTGTCCAGAGTCGGTGGAGGTCCGGTGCACGTGCGGCTCGACGGTCCTTGTCGTCCCCTGTGGCCGCGAGAGGACCACCAAACCACCTCGCTGCAAGGAGGCCTGCAGGTAACCACACACACACACACACACACACACACACACACACACACACACACACACACACACACACACACCTGTGCTTTAGATCCTGAGGGCAAACCTGCAGTGAGGAGGTTAAAAGCGCAGCACTCCTATGTTTTCCTGCAGTCTTAAATAACAGTTCTGCAGTTATGCAACGTCTCCTGAGAGCTTTGATTAAAACGTGCCTGAGAGCCACAGCGGGTTATGCTTTAACTGAGTTTTAATTGTTTTTACTCCCTTATTCGTCGTGCTCTGCTGTAACGAGGCCGATCGTTGACCCGTAATGAGCTGCTCCTGTTGGCTTTGGCTACGGGCAGAGAAGAAAAGCAGGAATCAGAAAGGTCTCACTAAACTTTCTTCTGCTGTCCTCAGGTGTCCTCCGTCCTGCCACCACCCGACCCGAGAGGCTCACCGCTGCCACCCCGGCACCTGCCCCCCCTGCAAGCAGCCCTGCCTGCTGCCGCTGCCCAGCTGCAGCCACACCTGCCCGCAGCCCTGCCACGACGTGGTGCTGGTCAAGTCCCAGCAGGTAAAGGACCACCTCAGGTCCTCTTGTTTCTCTGGGATCTGTGCTGATCCCAGGCTGTGTGATAAGAGAGGAAAATGATGCACAGCCTGCTGACCTCCGACAAAACCACCAAACACTGAGGTGCAGGCAGCAGCTGTGGCTTCAGATGCTTTTACTCTGAAAGCGCTGAGACTATTTTATTTTCCAGATTCTTTGTGTTAAATAGAATCAATCACCAGAATCATTTCAGAGCTTTAAAAGTGAATAAAGTGAATTAAACGAATAAAAAACAACGACTGCTTTACTGGAAAGTAACTAAATACTTTATTACTTCCATTTCCTGTTTCTTATACAGTCAGATTTAGCAGGAAGTTTCACTTTGTGTGACACTGCACGTGTATCGTGGTTTAGATGGTTAGTATGAAATATAATTCATAAATCTGAGTGCGTCTTTAATAATCTGCAGATGTTCTCAGAGTTTTGGTGCTTAAAGCTGATGCTGAAGTACTTTTTATTCAGATCTGGATGCCGTGGACTCGAGCGCATACTTCTGTGTGTTTGCGAGCGCCGTTGTCAAACATCTTATCAACATCACGAGCTCCATAAAGCAGAAAATGTCCCGTTTCCTCTCAGAGAGAAAAAAACAGGACAAAGTGTTTGTGTTGCTCCACCAACAAGTTTTTTCTCCGTGTGGTTTAGGTTCACTTAGCTGGACCGTGGGAGCAGCCGTCTGAGCCCGCGTTTGTCAAGAAGGCTCTGCCCTGCCCACCATGCCAAGTCCCCCTACCGACGTAAGACACACACACACGCACACACACACACGCACACACACGCACACGCACACACACGCACATGCACATACACACACACGCGCACGCACACGCACGCACACACACACACACGCACACACACTTCTTGATCACAGCAGCAGGTAGACGTGAGCTCTAACACAGAGCAGTCTGCAGACACCTACAAAACAGGATTAGTGGTTGTTGAGTTAACACCTATCCTGCTCCAGTGTAGGTCGTACTTTAGATAAGAGGTTAACAGGTATGACATCAGCACCTACTGACCAATCAGATCTATGGAAAATAGCATCACCATTTCTGGAAGATCCCTGAGATTGTAGCTGGTCAGAGACTGTTAGGAGGAATCTTACCCTGGTTTTTTCTGTTCGTCAGACTGTTTGAAAACATCTTAATGTCGTACAAGTTTAAACTGGTTATGTTATCCTAAGCAGCATCACACAGACCTAGAGACCTGTCAGGCATCCATGACAACCAGCGGTCGCTTGGGGAAAGCGTATATTCCCGACGTCAATCTCCTTGTGAATGAAAGTTGGAATGACTGGTTGCTGGAGGTTGCTGGACTTTACTGGCCGGTGCTTCAGTCTGTTTAACGACAGCTCTTCATTCACGTCGCTCTATTTCACACATGCTAACTCTTTTAAATGGAGTTTGTAATTGACAACCAGCGTCATGTCACAGTAAAAGAGCCCCGATAACAGAAAGATGTCCTGGATACGGTGAACCTGCTTCATAGTGCATGCTTCTCGCCAACATGTGAACCTGGTCTCAGAAAAGTGTTTTTCCTTTTAGGATTGAGCCGTATGTCCATGAAAGGCAAACATTTGCTGCAGAGCGGTGAAGAAAGCGCGGTCACATGTTTCTGATCAGCATCGCCAAAGAAGCAAACGTGGATCGGTTTACTTTTCAGAACGTTGAACATGTGCAGAACCAGAAAATCAAAGTGTTTCTGTGCCGGGGCGAGCGCACAGTGCTTCACATTTCCTTAAATTAGATTTCAATGAATATGTAAAACATGATGTAACGCGCCGGGCTCCCTGCAGACGCCGAACCACGCTTAACCGAGGAGCTGGAGGCCTTTTAAATAATTAAAGTGTTTTCATCATGTGGTGCCCAGAACCCCTAAACACACACAGAAATCACACCCACACACACACTGAGGTGCTTTGGTCCCGTCACGAATCATTAGACCTGAGATTAAAAAACACTCCGCCTGCCAGCTGCCTGCAGCTCAGTGACGCAGTCAACAACCAACATCAGCCATCTGTGTGGGTGTGTGAGAACCGCCGTATCCCCCCTACACACACGCACAGACACACACACACGCACACACGATGTTGAGTCAAACTTCTGCTGGAGCCGGTCGTCCGCGGCTCTCCGTCGGCATGTCGAGGCAAAGCGAACACAAATGAACCGGGGGTCGCGCAGAGTCACGTTTTCTAAAAATGTGCCAGAAAGTGATCGTGTGATGTGACCAAGCAGCCGTGAATGGTGGGAGTCGATTGAGTTGAAAGAAGCGAAGTGAAAAAGCTGTTTTCACCATCACACAGCGTTTACACGAACTGACCGAGGTGACGTGAGGTCGGCGCGTAATGAGCCAAAGTAAACGATCGTTTAAAAAAGTGATTGAAGTCGGTAAAAACAAAACAGACACATGTTTGAAATTAAGTAGAATAAATGGAGTTTTTCACAGTAGTGACAGGATGTGAGCTGCTAACCGGAATAAAGTTAATGAACGGAGCAGAAGCTGAGGCAGCTGGGAAATATACAAATAACAAGGATGCTCACAAAAGAAAGGACGGAATAGATGAAGTTTGAAGTGAAAGTAAAAGCATGAGCAGCTGGAAAGTGGGTGATTTTAAATTGATGGGTGATGATATGTTGTTTTACAGTGTGAAACAAGTATCAGATAAACTAAGTGATGCTGTGGACCAACTGGAAAATATGGAAGTAAATGGGAAGAATGGGAGCGAAGGGACTTTATGTGAGAGAAGTGATGGACTGTGATGTAAAACTGACGAGGCAAGTGTAGATATGGAGGTGAATTAGATGCATGGAAGTCGATGGATAATGTGCAAAGATGTGATAAAATGTGGAAAGAACAGCATCGGAGCAACTCTGCAAACAAAGCAGCGTGTATCAACACTTTGTCTTCATCTGCGCCGACGGAAAAACAGGAAGCGTTAGATAATCAACCAACAGCCGAGCACATTTCAACCCAACCCCCCGTGATGTTCTGTAAACATTATAAAAGAAAATAAATGCAGTAAAGTCCATTCTGACTTCAGCACACATTCAAATAAAACAATTCAGCCATTAAAATACTAATTGAACAGTAACGAAGTCAAAATAAGATGACGTATATAAAAAGCCAAACTCAATTTAATTAAGTCAATGATTTTATTTATTTTTGTTTTCCTCCATCACGTCTCTCATCATCCCTCGACCTCCAGCTGCTCCAGCTTCTGACCTTTTCTAAGGTCAATGTCAATCTCTTCGTCCACTGGAAAATATGGAAATAAATCAGCTGAATGGAAGTGAATGGATGCCTGTAACGGGTGGATACGTTTAAGGTTAAAATAAAAAGCAAAGTTAAAGGAAAAAGCCCCAAACGGCTAAAAAATGTTTACGAGAAGTCTGGACTCACAAAAAGCAGAATACTGTGATCGTAAAACCATATCCAAGTTGTTTGTTTAAACAGATACACCTTTTCTTATTATTATTATTATTATTTTTTAAATCTAATGAAAAATATTCTAAATATTGTAGTGAATTTGGCACCAACACGTTGTCCCAGCAAAAGAGAACAGCTGAGATGTTAGAGACGATCAGCTGCAGGGAGATGTTAGAGATGATCAGGTTGTTTTGCAGCAGGTCAGTGACATGAGTGGGTACGAGAAGAGCATCTTATAGAGGCAGAGCGTCACCGATCGGAGGAAATAAACTGCATCTACAAATTGTGGAAGAATTTCATAAAACTGCACAGACTTTGAGTATCTGATCGTCTGCAAACGAGCGGACGCTGAGTTTGAGTGGTTGCAGTAAACATTTGAAGCCTAACGAGGACACTCGTGTGAATAGTGAGTGGAGGTGAGCGGTGCAGTGAGTCTTTGTTTTTGTCTTTCAGGGCCTGTTTTGGAGAACACGAGGTAAGAGCCAGCCTGGTCACAGCCTCCATCTTCACTCTTCTTCTGTTTCTTTAAACTGTAGTGACGATGATGCGGCTTAACGCTTTCAGCACTTCTTCCTCTCTGGTCATCGACACTGGTTTCCAGCACGAAGGCTCCACGTATCTGTCTTTGTAGATTTATTACTTCCTCCCTGCACTCCTCTTTTTATCTGTCCTACTTTCCCACCGTCCTTCCCCTTCTTAATGTTTTCCTTTCCATCATGTTCCCTCGTTCCAAACGCCGTTTATTATTAGTTTGTCCTTCTGACCTCCTCTTCCTCATTCACTCCTTCCTCCTTCTATTCATCTGCTTTGTCCTTCTCTGTATCTCTCTCGCTCGTTTAAGTCTCTTGTGTTTCATCTCATTTAGTCGTTTGGTATTCAGCACACTCGTATACAGGCGCTCGTTCACCTCCAGACGAGGTCATCAGATCTAATGATGGAGGGTCTGTGCTGAACTCTGTTTGTGCTCGGCAGGTCAGCCCGGTGCCGTGTCATCGTCAGGGTCGTTTCTCCTGCAAGCGACCCTGCGGACGACCTCTGACCTGCGGCAACCACTCCTGCAGCAGAGAGTGTCATCTGGTTAACAGCAATCCAGTAAGGACCTTGTTTAGATGTCTGTCAATGAAATCTGATGAAATGATGAATGATGGCACCAACAGAATCCTTTGCACACATCTAAGAAAAGTCCTGCTGAAGGTGGAAACAACAAACACACCACTGAGCACCACTGGACTGTGAAGCAGGAAACTACTGACCCAGCAAGCGTTGGTGGAGCGCTGTAGTTGTATTTCAAATGACACTGGATACTGGTGACGAAAAAGCAGGGCCATAAGCAGCTGGTTATACACAGCGACCCAAGAGTACGACCTCCCAACAGGAAATGTATTATTGTTTTGTTTTATGTGACAAACTACACGTTTATGATCACCTGACTGTGCGACGGGTGTAGCAGGTGAAGGAGTGCAGTTAAACAGGCCTTTACATTACAGTTAAAATCACTGAGTCTGGTATGAGCTGCTTGGAGCTGCAGCCTGACGGTGGTGATGTTTACAGTTAAATGTAAGTCCCACTGTCTGGGTTACCACTAACACATTCAAGGAATTGCAATCAAGTCCCTGATGAAGGTCAACAGGACTGAAATGTAATTTATTACAAGATTTAGTTACTCTGTTGTTAAAGTGTTAAACACTCATGTTGTACTTTACTGAGAACACGACCTGGACTACAGGATGTAATGCTGCTGCTGGCGGCACCTTGTAGCAATACATTCAATACAATCACACTTAGACTTCATCAGTAACAGTATCTTATTGGAAGAGGCTGAAAATCCCCTTGTTTTTGTTTGCACTAGTAAAGCTACAGTCACCAACAGAACATCATCCAGTATGATCACAAACATCCTGGAAATATTGTGTTTAATTTTGAGTCTCCACTAACAGCCACTATGACACTACCCATTGGATTCTGCCATCGCACAGAAACCTGGTAACTGGTGCTCTAATATTCAAATAAATCCTCAAATTTCACCAAAACTGGAGCTCAGACGTCTTGAACCACCTGTTGGTAAAGTTAAACACAGCAGCCATGTTATTGGTCAGATAAGTGCATTAAAAATGCTCCAATGCGCCGAGGTCACGTCCGGGGACTCCAAATAGCTGATGTCATCATCCACCTGTCAGTTACAGAAGCCAGGCCTTAATAATACAATCTGTAAGCCCAATTAAAATTTAAACAGGTAATTTATAGTAGAGTACAGTTGTTAAATATGAGGCACCTTGTGCTTTTGCAAGCATGTATATATTTTAGTAATTAAAAGGTAGAGGATCGGTAACAGAGCCCTGTGGAACTCCGCGACCTGTGAGAAACTGTGAAGTGTTCTGGTGTTTGTTACTCACAGTAATCCTACTGGTTGCTTCACCTGATCTCATCTCTCTGCAGTGCGAGGTGTGTGAGGAGGGCTGCTCTAAGCCCCGCCCATCCGGTTGCCCTCACTCCTGCCCCCGCCCCTGTCACCCAGGCGCCTGCCCCCCCTGCAGCCAGATGATCCGCCAGCGGTGCCACTGCAAGATCAGCCTGCTCTACGTGGAGTGCACGTCAGTACAAACACATGATTTATCATACCTGAATAAACAAAACCAGTCACTCACTACATGATGTAAACAAAGGCAGAGTGATGGCATGACTAGAAACATGAACGGCCTCGTTTGAAATGACAAAACAAAGCACGATAAAGTCACGACTGCTGTGTAAAGGTGGCAGACTCACCAGAAGCTTTTTCTTCTCTTAACTTCCTCTTTTTAAATCAAAGCGGAGCTTCTTGCTGCATAATTTGAAGCAGAAGGAACAAAAATGCTTTAACAGGATGGTCGATGTTAATGCGTTTAAAGAGAAGTAATATCAGTGTTTTATATGGAGAGGGAGCCAGCTGTCAGACTGCAATGATGAGTAAGAGCAAGTCTCGCGTCACCCATCGTTCTTTGTTTTGCTTAGAAAATGTGCGACAGTGATTTATTAAAACATGGAGCTGGATCAGGGGAAGCGACAGGCCCTGTGTCGCGCTCAGACACCGTCCAGCTGCTGCAGATAGCTTTTTAGGTCTGCCACTTCTTCTTTTGTCCTCCACGTGTCCAGTTTCCTTCTTTAAGGACACACTGTGCAGCATGCTGAGATATGCCAAGCTTTCAGCTAATAGCACTTTGGGAATCACCTTGTTGGTACAAAAATCCCATTTGATGTCCGTAAAACTGTTTTATCTTTGGCATTTTTCATAGATTCAACTAAAGGAATGAGAGCGAGTGATGTGTGTTTGTTTTTTAGGGAACAAAGACGCCATTTAAATTTGGTTCTTTGTTAGGTTTTCTGTTATGTGCAGCCGCAGCACTGGAATGATTTACAGATCAGTGGTTTAACAAATAAGAAACATTTCTGGGAAGGAAAAACTGCCTTTAACAGGATGAAACCTCCAGCAGAGCCAGACTCAGGGAGGGGGGCATCTGTGAGAGGTGTGAGGACGAAGGCAAGCTGAGGGAGAGAGCCGGAGATTAATAGAAATGAATAATTCAGTGGACAGAGGTGGCAAACACACAGTGAGGAAAGATGAAACACCCGGTGTACACCGAAGGTGCTCTAGTGCTACAGTTCTCTAAGCTCATTAAGATCAGATGTGGCCTGATTATTTAAGACCTTTCATTGCTTCTTTAAACCTGACAACAAAGTGTGGGGTGGTTTAAGACCTGCACAGGACTGTAACTCTGTGGTCTGACTTATTCGTCAATAGGAGATTTATTTGAAGCACTCTTGCCTACCTTCATGTGTAAAATAATGTCTGTATGAGTGGAGGCGTGTTTGTTTACGAGGAAACTGAAGTCCTTTTTAAAGTCTGGCACATACTCAGACACTTGGCGACTAATCTGGAACTTCTCCCGAGTCTTCGGTGGCCCCGAGGGGCAAAACACAACAACAGAACAAGTGTGAAGTTGTTTTCTGTAGGGCCCAACTCACTTCCAGCTGTGGTTTCCAAACCGTGCCGTGAGGCAAGTCCAGGCTTGTTCCAGCTGGATGTTTTTAACTGTGACATCGAGCTTCACAAGACGTTCTGAACAGTCGGTTCAATTTCAAACTAATTCAGGCTGTGAAAAGAAGGCCCGGCGATGTGTGTGAGGCTGTTTTCTGTTGATATAAACACGTGTGTGGACAAGGTGTTTGAGACCCGCTGGCCTGCACATTAACACGTCTGAAACACGAAGGTCAAAGGTGAGTGCTGCTCAGGTGAGGCCTGGATCAGTGAAGCTGTGTCAGTGAGCGGGCTTTAAAGAGGGCAGCCTGAGAGCGTCGCTGCTCCAGGTGTGTGTCAGAGCCCGTCTGCAGGTGCCGACGCTCAGCCAGTGTCACTGTGCAGCAGCATAAACACAGAGGCTCCTTATCTGCTGTGAGCTCCGGGTGATCAGCAGCTCATCACTAATAAAACGTGTGTGAACTAACAGTGTTACTGCTGACCGATCGATCGCTCTCTGCAGGAAGCTGACCGCAGCCGACGAGCAGACCAAGGAGGCCCTGAGCTCCTGCAACAACCAGTGTCCCAAAGAGGTATGAGCGCCGACCCCACTCCATCTGTGGTGTCCTCCCTAAGGGCCCCAGTGCATCATGGGACTAGTTTATCAGCCTTTGAGTGCCATTAAAGTGTGACTGCTCTGGAGGTCCCAGCTCTTTCCATTCTTGCTACGCTCCTTTCCTCTTTTCTTCTTCTTCCCGCCTCCTGTTTTTCTCCCTCCTCCTATCAATCGTCAATAATCGTCAGTGACACAGCAGAAGTAACACAACGCCGTCCGCTCAGCGCCATCGCTCTGATCGCTTTAGCCGTGTGGCGCCAGCTGAACACCAACAGTCTCGCTCTCGTGCTTTCCTTTCACCTGGGAGTGATTTAGTGTTTTCATTCTGCGACTTAAACACGCACAAGCACAGTTGAAGTAAAATGTTTGAGCAGTGCGGTGGTTCGTGTGCGTCCTTCTGTCAGAACACTGTTTTCATTCAGCTGTAACTTCAGCTCTGAAGAGCCAAGACACACACACACACGCGCGCGCACACACACGCACGCACACAGCAGGAATAACAAACATGGAGCGGCCGCAGCGCTGTGGTGTTTAGACTCTCTTCTTCTGCAGGTTTCAGCCTCTCAGTTCGATTTTCTCTCCGTTCAGTTGGCTGATCTGAAAAATGATTTATCCCAAAATGTTCCCGTGAAGTAAGAAACATAAAGTGTCTAAAGACCCTTCAGGTGTTTATTTCAGCGTGTCGATCGGTGTAACCCTGTGAAGTCCTGAAGCAGTGGATGTGTGTTTTCATAAATCATTACAGAAGAAAAAGAGAACATTTCTTTTTTTCATATCGTACAGAAGTTAAAGCATGGGGATTTGAGTTTACCTCCACATCAGGTCTTCTAGGAACTCTATGAAGAGTGTTTCCTCTCTGTCTGTGCACCCAGTGTGGGGGGGGGGGGGGCATCTTTGAGCCTGTAAAGGCCAATAAGACTGCAGCATGCGAGATGAGCCTCCCTGAGGAATTATCATCCTCATTATTTTATTATCTAAGCTTCATCCTGTACAACTTTCATCACCTGATCTGAGCTCCTCCCTGTGCACTGCATTGCTACCAGCACATGTCAGACTGTTGGTCACTGTGTGGCTGCTGCTGCTGTCAGCATTACAAATGTCCAGGTGACACTTGAGCTATCTGGCACAGAGGTGGCGTCTGTGACGCTTTCATGAAAGCAAACTCCAGCTGATGGTTCTTAAGCTTCAGTGTTTTCTGTGCTGCTAAGCATCAAAGACGTCAGACGCTGGCTTGGACTTCGCCGGGTTAAAAGAAATAAATTCAGAAGTCGGCTCGTCTCCTCTGGAGATGTTGAAACTCTTCACAATCATTTCAAAACAAAAAAGAAACCACAAAAAAACTTGTTTGAGTTTCAGCCTTTAGTTTATGTGACATTGCTGAGAGTCCGATACAAGCTGCGGTCCAGCTGCTCGGAGCTAAAGACTGATGGTGGTGACGTTTCCTCCACCGTGAAAGGATCAAAGCGACCGTGGGGGCGGAGCCAGTGTTTCATTTCACTGTTCGACGGTTGCTTCATGTTTCTCTTGGACAGAGCTGAAGTTTGCTCTGCCTCGCTACAGCAGCAGCCACAATTAATCTGTGTGTGTGTGTGCGTGTGTGTGCGTGCAGCTGAGCTGTGGCCATCGCTGTAAGCAGGTGTGCCATCCAGGTGTGTGTGAGGAGACGTGTCAGCAGAAGGTGAAGCTCCGGTGTCCCTGCAAGAGAATCAAGAAGGTAAAACCAAAAGTAGCACTCTGCACTGTGGCCACTTTATTAGGAATACCTGTGCAGTGTAAGTGTTGATGATAATGTAACTGTGGACATCTGTCAGGATCAGAAGGGTTGAATCTCTACTAACCATTTCCACACTGCAGGACTCTGACATTAGCTGTGTGTGTGTGTGTGTGTGTGTGTGTGTGTGTGTGTGTGTGTGTGTGTAGGAGGTGCTGTGCTCGCTGTCGCCTCAGTTTGCTGTTGAGTGTGACGACATCTGCAGAGAACAGCAGAAGAAAGTCAGCCAGGTATAAACACACACCTGTACAGACTCTGAGTGGTTCACACCTGGACACACAAACACTGACACTCTGCGTGTGTTTGTGTGTTTAGCTGAAGGAGGCGGAGCAAAGAGCGGCTCAGGAGGAGGAGCAGAGGAAGCTTCAGGTGAGTTTCATGCTGTTCCACCTGCACCACCTTTTAGCTCTGGAGAAGGTTCAGACTTTCAAACGTTCATTTCAACATGTAAAGCTAATAACTGCGAGTGATTAATGACGGTGGATGTTGAATTGATGTGGTCGGAGTCTGTTCAAACTGTGTTATTGTGCAGGAGGAGCTGGAGGCGTTCGAGAAGAGGCAGCAGCGAGGAGGGCGGAGGAACAAGAAGCGGGGTAGAAGGGAGGAGGTGGACGACGAGCGCTCAAAGGCGGCAAGGTGGTGGAGGTGGTGTGCCGCCTTTGTCCTTGTCCCGCTGGGCGGCGCGCTGCTGTCTGCCGCCACCTACTACTACCTGCAGGAGTCGGCCTGAGCAGACGGCGGCGTGCAAGCTTCTGTTTCCTGCCGCCATTCAGACGCTCGCTGCGACTCTTCCCTTGCGAACCTTGTGTTAACCATAGCAGCAGTGGCTTTAGGTTAGGTTGGATGGTTAGAACTTTGAACACAGCGCTGCCTCATGTTTCAGAACAAAAGGAAGTTTCTCCTTTTTCATTCAGTGAAAAGTTTAATTGATTTTTAGTCTGAAAGCAGTGAAGAAAAACGTTAAAATAGCTGCTTTAAGTGTGACTCTGACTAAATTGTTGTGAGAGATGAGCTACGTGTGGTTTGTCACTCCATCACATAAAGTAAGACTTTGTGGCTCTGGAATAATCTGATGTGACACAGTGACCATGGTAACAGGCATGACTGACTCAGGCTGATCAAAACTTATGGGAACGTGATTTTCCCCTCTGCTACCAACCAAATATCTCAATTATGTGAAAAAAGGTCAAATTATTTGGCCTGATCCTGATCCAGTGGTTCCCAAACTAAGCAGCACTGCAGTTTAATAATGTCCCATGAGGTTCCAGTGAGCCAGTCCTTTGTTTATTTGTCTAACATTACAGAAATAAACATGTTTACAATCTGATATAAATATATTTTTGGGTTCTATAGCATAACACATGTACAGAAATGCAGTAACCAACAAGGTAATTGAGAGTATCAAAAACCTGAAACCTGTAAAAATAACCTTCAGTGGAAGAAGGGGGCGGGGCTAAACATTGTTTGTGGAGTTCCACATGGCTCTATCATAGGTCCTCTACTTTTTCTTCTGGTTTAAATTATATTCTTGTTTTTCAAAGTATGCTGTCTTTACCCCTTCATCACAACTGTAAGGTTGTTGGCTCTTATGATGTCTCACCTGTTTAAAGGGTTGACGTTTGCATTAGTGGGTCGTGGTCTCTGTGGGACCTCTAGGCTGTCTTTATGCTGTTGGAGCCTTTGGAGACTGGGTCTGTTTCGTGGTGGAGGTTTAACTGGGACAGAAATAAAGATTTGGGAACCACTGGGTTGGTGTAGTTTCATCATCAGTTTCATGCACACTGACATGGAGCAGTGTTAGATCAGGCAGGCCATGAAGTCAGCTCATGCCTCACTACACATCAGTGTGGGGCGATATCTAGAAGCTGCTTTGTGCCCACCTGCAGACCAGCTCCTGCTGTCCTGCTGGGTGTCTTCACTGATGTGTGTGCATGCCTGCACAGAAAGCATGCACACGTGAAAACTGAGGTTGTAGTAGAGAGACTGATGCTGCAACAACAACACAGCCTAATGATTCCTGTTTTCATCCTGGTAAACCTCTAATCAACCTTTAATATTCTCCATAATTGTTTTTTAATGTGTTTCAAGTTCAAAATGAAAATAAGAGATGAACATTTTGACGCTTAAGTTGTAGTAATTGATATCTTTGGTTCCCTTTTCCTCATTAATGCACCTTCATTATTCTCCCTAATGTGTAATCTTTATGTTTGTGTAAGTTTAAAGTAGAAAATGAACAACAGGAAGTTTCTGACTGGAAAAATCTGAAATAAATCTAGAGTCATTTTTGTGAGGAATCCATCAGATACTGGAACTCAACTGTCTAATATTCATGCTGAAACGTTTCAATTGTTTTGATTTTGATTTAAAAATTTTCTTTCTTATTTTTCATTCTTTTGTCCTAAAGACTTAAAAAATAAATCGAAATGAAACAAAACCCCCTGTGTTCATTTTCCTAATCGAGCTTTTTTGTAACCTTCAGAATTCTGTTAGGCAGACCACGCCCACTCTTCAAACTAATGCTGAAGTATGAACGCCAGTTCTGCTGTTTCAAAAACATTCCCGTTATAAGGAAGTCAACAGGAAAATGCCTCTTGGCTACTCTGTTGTTCAAAGTCAGATCCACCGCTCGCTCATCACATACGGTGTGAAATCACAGGAAAAACAAACTAATGGGCTGCGTCACCATGGTTACACCCATTTATGTTTGTATTACGCTTCTCAGAGTAATTAAAACCACCTTCAGCTGCAATATTAAAGCGATGCAAATGTTAAGATATCAAAAATTATGATCTCGTCACATCACAAATATGAGTCTTGAGTACAATAAGTACTGCTGTATATCTTCATCCTACAAGTTTTAGGATTATGACTTTTCAGCATCAAAATAAATGTAAATGTCTTCTGTACACACACTGTACATAAATGATGGACACTGTGATGTCACTCATTGGTTAATGAAGCCTCAAGCTGCCTTGGGAAGTTGGAGGTGGTGAGAGAGGGACGTCGTGAGGCCAACGATGCGTCGTGCAACGAGCACACTCTCTCTGAACTTCCTGTTTCACTTAGTTTGAGCTGAATACCACAACCGATAAACTTGTGAAATCATTCAGACTTAATCAGGTCACTGAGTAAAGGAGCAGCGTTCAATAAGCACAAGTCTTTCTGTTCTCCAATCAGAAGGTTTGATGCACTTGTGTGCTGGCTTCAGTTCAGAAACAAAAACTATGTCCATCACTTTACACCAACCACCACCTTTTTTTTGGTTAATGTTCTGACTTCCTGTGAGCCCCTCCTTGCTCGTTTGTAATCCCCCTTGTGTGACCTTTAAAACAAAGCTTCAGGAAACGCCCCTCTCACTGAAGCTTGATCATGGTGAATGTTTACAGAAGGAGGCGCTCCATCCATGGTTAAAAGCATTTCTTCCCCATCTGAGTTTGCAACAGCTGGTGACAAAATCACCACACAACAGATTTATCTGCAACATTGTAGTTACATTATAGAAGATCGTAACTATGACTACGACCATCAAAGTCATCAAAAAAGAAACATTATTACAAGTTAGCATCATGAATACGTTACATGTATGTTGTAAAGGGTGCTGTCAGACTTTTTTTTAGCATTTAAAACATTAAGCGAGCACAGACAGCCTCTGTGGGGTTCCACTCCTCACTGGTGGGTCACAGCTCTGAAAGACTCCTGGAAACGCCCCTGCTGTTGAAACTGGGGCACCTCTTAATACTCTTAATGCACCTGTTTACCTCCATCCTATGATAGTAAACTCCACCCATCTCATACTCTCTATGCTGCTTCTGTTTGTCTCCAGGGCAGACCCATCTCCACCCACCCATCCACCCTCTCCCTGCCACTTCCCCAGGTGGATGCAGATGTAACCAGAGAGTTCAGAGTCTGATTTGTGTTTGTATTCCTGACAGAACTTTCGGAGGTGTCTCGCACCCGTTGCGGGTCCCCCCTGCTGAGGAGCGCACCCCCTGCTGAGGAGCGCACCCCCTGCTGAGGAGCGCACATGTGCGGCAGCAGCTTTGAAGCTGGCGCTCAGGAGGCTCCGGCCCTGAACCTGAATCCAGGAGCTTTAATCCCACGTTAAGACCTCCTCACGTGGGCACGACCTGAGCTGTGTGACAGTAAACAGCGGAGGGGGAGGAGACGGGGTAGGGGCGGAGCCAGCGTGTCTCGTGCCCGGTTAGTTAGCGGAGCAGCTCGCGGGCAGCAGACAGAGGGATGGTCTCGCGCTCGGCGCTGGGCAGCAGCAGGTCATGTTGTCCGCGCGGCTGGAGACCTGCCCGCGTGTCACCTTCAGCGGAGCGGGAACTGCGGCGGTGAGTGCCCCCCTCTCTCTCTCTCTCTGTGTCCCCGCTGTCTGCGGAGCTCTCTCTACCTCTGTCCCCGCTTCTGCTGCTGTCCTTGGTGTCCGTCCTCTGTCCTCTCCGCCTCTCTGTGCTGCTGCTGCTGCAGACTCTTCTTATTCTGCAACACTTCAAAGATATTTCAAGGCTTTAATCAGAGAAGCGTCAACAGAAAACTGACGCAAATATGTTTTTATTTCTGTTTTATTTCAGTCAAATCTCATTGAGTCATCTCTGTTTGAAACCTGTCACAGAAATAATTACAGATTTATTTTCTGTTTAAAAAAATCTATCAGCTGCTTACCAAAAAAGGTAAGCAGTAACATAAAAAAATGTTACTGTCACATTTGTGCAGAAGTCAGTGCACTTTTGTCTCCTGCAGTAACATTTACCCGAGGGCACAGGTGTGCTCAGGAGCATGAAGCATGCAGGAAACAGGATGTTGTTCCAGTATCTGACTTTTAATGTCGTGTAGTGATGTAGTGATGTCCGTCTGTGTAGAGTTTTCAGCGAATGTGAGCTCTGATGGTTATAAAACTGCACCCAGCTACACTTTCATTTCTTTATTAATAACTCTGATAAATTTAATTTCTTCTTACTAAACTTCATTTCTTTTCTCAATGACACCTTAGATTTGATCATGTTTGGGTGATTCGTGGACCTCTGTTTATTCATAAAGACTTTGATTTATTTTGATGTAAAATTTAAGAAGTCATATTAATTGTGGCTCCAGCTGAAGCTCCTCGGGTGGCTGACGCGTCTCCGTTTCTACAAGATGATCCAGAAAACAGCTGAAAGTTCACACACACGCTCAGCTCTCAGACCTGATGATGTGCACTCGTTTACCTGCTAAACACGGTCGTCGCCGTCCGGAGACTAAATGATTACAAACTTAGTTATTAACAGATAGTTGTAGTGCTGGAAGAATTAGAGCAAGTTTAATAACTACGCCTAATAATTAAAATAATCACGTAGTGATTTACAAAACAAAACAAACAGTTATTATTTTTGACTCTTTTTCTTAAATAAAAACATTATTAAGATTAAGATATAATGATAATGTTGTAGAAAGCTGACATTTAAACTGTGTTTTCTTTATGTTGTGTGACAGTAAACTGGGTGTTTTTGATGATTTAAATATATCAGGCATCAGAAAATATCAGAACCAATAAATATGAACAGTTTTAAGAATTTACTTTATTAACCTCTTAAGCCCAACGCCCCCTGATACGGGGGCAAAATGCAGGAGATCAGGTAGGCTTGGGGCTTAAGAGGTTGATGCCTGAGGATTGTGTGATTTCAGTTTCCCCAAGACATACGAACAGTAACCGACTGAAATAAATAAAATACAAATAAAATTACAAAATATATACAAATAGCTCAATTCTAAATATGTGTTGCAGAGATTAAATATATATGATTCACATCGTACTCCAAGCTGTTGTTATTCTGATCTTAATTTTACTCCTTACTTAATTTTACCCTTCAAAGTAAAAGTCCTCGCCTAAAAGTCCTAAAAGGTGTAAGATGTACATAACGTGCATGTTTGGTTTGTACTTTATTTAACCCAAATAGTGAGCTTCTTGTTATTGTCATGCAATAAAAAGAAAATGATCCAAGCTGCAGCTCTCACACACTCTTTCAGATGCACATGCACGGCAGACGTTGTGGTAATGAATCAGCCAATCAGCACATTAGACAGAGCAGCTCCACAGAGAGAGAGGGTGGTGGAGTGAGCAGTATTTAAGGCGGGGGGCTGCTGTGTGGTGTCAGGTGTCGGCTCGTTGTCATATCTCTTCAAAAATAACTTCAGCGTGTCCAACGGAAACTCTGAGAGGGCAGAAACACCCCGAGCACCCACACCTCTGCTCTCTGTAAAAATAACCTTCAGTGGAAGAAGGGGCGGGGCTAAACAGACAGTATAGAGCCAGAAGCCTCCTCTTTTGTGCTCTAATAACCTGGATCCTGGTGTTTTATGAGTCCTCTGAATGTCTCTCTGTGTCCCACAAAGAATCTGGCTCGAGGACCCCAGGCGAGGATGGGCGGGGAGGCGTGTCCCCACAAGCTGGGCTCCACCAATCACCTTCGGCTTCTCCTCTACATCCTGATTCCCACCGTGAGCCTGCTGGCCGGCCTCCTGCTGCTCGTCCTGGTCCTCACTGGTAGAGACACACACACAAACACACAGTCTGGCTGATGACCTCTGAGGTCAGAGGTGTTCTCAGTGACCTGACAAAGACCCCACCCTTCACTTTCAGTCTGGACACGACCCTGATATCACTCCATCCCCCTCCTTCTCTGTCCTCTAATCTCTACCCGTCCTTTGTCTCTTTCCTCCCTTTTCCCTTCTTTTTCCATCCCATTCACACCATCATTCCTTCTTTTTTATTTGGCTTTTATTTCATTATTTCTCTTTTTACGTTCCTCAGTTTAGTTTCCTCCCTGCTTTCAATCTTTCCCTCCGTCGCTGTTACGTCCTCCTTCTTTCCCCTGAGTCATCCTCCTTCTTCCTTCATCCCTCCTTTCTCTCGATGAAGAGGAGCTACAGAGGGATAAGGGGGGAATGATGGAGGCACGGAGAACAGACTGATGTGTGTAGGAGGAGAAGTGTGCATGTGTGTCACCATGACAGCAGGGAGTCCCTCAGCCAATCAGCATGAGGATCAGACTGAAAGGATTTCAAATATTTACGCAGGTAGTAAAAGAGACGCGGCAGCATCTGTCCATCCAGACCTTCACCATCTTCCTCCTCCTCCCCCAGCTATGGTCTTCACCTCCATCACCTTTTCAGCCTCCCCCCTCATCGTTTCTCTTCCTCCACTGGATTTTCCTTCCTTTCTTTATTTTCTCGTGTCTGCTTTGATGATTCATTTCTTTCTCAAATGTATTCAATTCAGTCTTATTTCTCTCTCTGAACACACACACACACACACACACACACACACACACACACACACACACACACACACACACACACACACACACACACAAATATCACAAACATTGTCTGAATGAATAAACTTTTTTTAAAAATTTGAGAACTTATTTTCATTCTCCTCGCAGTGAGAGCTCCGCTCCTCTTTCTTCTTCGTTGGTTTCTTCTCCCTCTGCAGCTGTTTTTCTTTTGTCTTCTTCGCGACTCATTGCACACAGTGTGTGTGTGTGTGTGTGTGTGTGTGTGTGGCTTCTCTCCCCATTACACACTTAATGGTCTTTGCAGTGCCTCCTGCTTGCCTCCGTCTGTTTTCAGCTTTAATGTGAGGCTGTGAGTGAGAGCCTTCACATTCACTCTTCAGCAGTTTTTATTTCTCAGCCTCTGACTGAACGATGATCCACAGTCACACTGTGTGCACAGCACACCTGGCTCTCACTGTTGGATGGTGTTGTTGAGTCTCCACAAGCAGCAGCAGAAGGTTTCAGAGTGTTCTTCTGAGCTTTATCAAAAGCAGCAGCCCGCAGCCTCACATGTGTCCTCCTCAGGGGCGTGAAGTGAACTTTCTGCTGAGCGCAGCAGGAAACCAATCACACCGACAGCTTTTAGTACTCCTGGTTGTTGCAGATATCTGCTCCTGTATCTGCTGCAGGCGTGGGGGGAAGGAATCAGGCTGTTTTTTTAATCTAATCAACAAATAAAAAATGATAAGTTCAGTTTTAGTCAAATTAAAGTCAGCGTGAGAACATCAGCAGATAAAATCTGGTTAATTCATCTTCACTGCACAGCTTTTCTCTGGTCCTTCACACCAGCTCACCGTCTAACAACCATATTTGTAGTTCGAGATCTACTGACCAATGATTTTGAAATGGCTCTGCTGCATGCAGGTAAACAGCCTGAGCACAGAGCAAATGAAGGAGGGCTTTCGGTAAATCGCAGTCTGAAAACCATCGACTATCATTTTTGGATCCATCCATCCTATTCAAGTTGTCACAGATCCGGCGGCAGGGTACACCTGGACAGGTCTGTCTGTCCCAGCGCTCCGTTTCTTGATTTCCTTCCTGAATTTCTTGTGGCATTCACTCTGATTAATGGCTCCAGCTGTGGGACTTACACTTTGGCACCAGTTTTATTTATTTATTTGATGGAAGTCAGGCGCCGCTTTGCTCAGTCAAACAGAGACCACTCACGTTCATTTTTGACTTATTGGCTGACCTGAGATCTGTGTCTGTAGGCAGAGCTTCAGTAGCTGTTTATCAGTAGCTATATTATTTATATACAGTGATGAGTGGCCTGTTTCACAGTCATGTGGTGTAGATTTCAGGGAGACACTTGGGACTCGTACCCACTGATATTTACAGCACACGCATTCGCCCACCCACTCCCCTCCTTACGCTGCAAAAAAACAACCTCCAAGTGCATGACTTATGTACGCAAACATGTTCCTTCACATACGCGAAGACGTCTCTGTCATAAACTGATGTAACAAACGTGCAAAATGAAAATTCCTCATTTGATTTGTTTGTTGTTTGAGCTGAGAGGAATCTCACACATGTCGGCAGTAATTCGCTGTGTAGTGTTTGAGGGGGTGAAGCCGATGATCTGTCAGTGACTCATTTGTAACATTTATACCAGAAATGCAAATATGAAACCCACGGCTGTGTGTGACAGAAAATATGTAAAAAGATTACCATGGTAACCAGCTCTGTCTGACACGGCTGTGCTGTCTCATTAATAGTTTTTTTTTTCTTTGCCAGAAATGTCAGGTTGTTCAAGTTCATAAAGACGGACGTGGCCGGGGACGAAAAACAGTGCTGTAAAAACTCTAAAGTAACAAAGGGAGGAAGAGAGGAAGGGGTGGGGTCCAAAATGCACCCAAACAACAGAGACTCACTGTGAGATCGACACTGTAAGATGTACTGTAACCACACACCAGCAGGGCGAGGGGCAACAAGGAAGTCTGTCAAGGCAATATTCAAGACAGGAAGAGAAAAAAGGCAGGAAGTGAAAACAGAGAAAGCCAAAGAGGGCCTGACTCAAAAGCAGAGAGGGGAACACATTTATCAACTCAAAAGCTTCTTTTCCATTAAGAACTTGGGATTCCTGTCCTTCATTTTGTGGAATTTTCCATTCTCGCCATAACTGAGAGTTTTGCTTCTGGGGTCCTTTATTGATGACACACCTGTGGAAAAGAGTCAGTATGTTCATGGACGTTTAGGTTAAATGTGACCATGCCTGGAGAATACAGAGATTTAGGTTTCTGTGAAAGGAGAGCACTTTTTAGCTTTTATATCTTCTAAATTATTAAATTGTCAAATTATTTCCTTAAAACTATTTGAAATGTGTGACACCACACAGCACTCATTCGTTCATGAACTGAAGCCTTAAAGCCACGCTCATGGACGTTCATGAGCGTGGCTCAGAATCATGCCTGAACCGCCTCCTATGATTGGCTGATACCTGTGTCTTCCTCTGCAGGTATATTTGGCAGCACTCACTTGGACCCCAGCCTCCTCCCCTCACCCAAACCCATCGCCGACAGCAACCCTGGTTACCACAGCAACAGCACAAGTGACCCCTACCCCTCCTCCTCATTCACGGTGGAAACCGTCACGTCTTCACCGCAGAACCGCAGTGAGAGCACACCTGCCGCCACCGGCGTTCCCCCGGTGACCTCTTCTCAGGCTCCGCCCACTCAGCCATACACAACGCCCCCTGATTGGCTTGCTTCTGTGACATCGCTGAGCACCGCTTGGCCGAGCAGCACCGCCTCTGCACCCGACACAGGTATCAGGTGTGAGCAGGAAAGATGGAAGCAGCAGGGGGTTGTGGGAAACGTACGCAGCTTTTAAAAGACCTGAGTAATGCCAGGGCTAAGGATGAACTACAAATCCCACAGTCCTCTGCAGTCTGTGTCCTTCCTGTTATCCGTCTGTCTGTTGCTGTTGTTGTGTCCTTTCCCGTCAAACAGTAAAATCTTATTAGGCTCCATTAGTGTCGACTGGACGAGTTGATACCTGAGAGTAGCTGCAGAGGATGAGCTGCATTCAGATCTGCTGTCCTCTACTCTCCTCTGCTGACCTGATGGGCTGAGCGAGAGTGTGTGTGTGCATCTGTGCTGATAAATCGTTTGTTGGGTTGCTATTTTAAAATTCCCCTCGTCTCCGTCTCTCTCTGTTCCTCTGCTGTCCTTCAGTGTCTCTCTGTCTGTTCCCATGTATTAATGTGCAGTCGAGGTGAATGCTAATGAGCCTCAGTCTGTCCTGCGCTCTGATTGGACACTGGACACTCACCAGATTTGGTGGACGTTTGACCTCCTGCCCAGTTCGGCCACCTTGTTAAAAAAGGTCACGCTCTGTGATTAACCGACTCTCTGATGACTTAGATTTCTCCCACTGAGACAACAAGTTAGGCCCTGAAGGTGTCGGTGGTGTCACCTGGCTGTTTGTCCTGCTAATGCTAGCTACAAGTGTCTTATTAAAGCACTGACATTGATACATCCAACTGTGGACAATCCAACCAATTACAGGCGAGGTTTAAACACAGAAAGACCTCAATTTACTGTCATTTGTTATTAGTTATTTGTTATCTTTCTAAGTTATTTGCCCCTAAAAATCTCAGAAGGATGATCTCACTTATCCTGGAAGGCATTAGTTTGGCCTACTATAAGCATCCATCCATCCAGACGCTCGCTTTGATTATAACCATAGTATTTAAAAATAAACACTGACATTCCATGAAAATCATGCAGGTGAAAAATACCAGTACAGTTTTGGTTAGATCAAACACGTATTAAGCACGGGTGCTCCCATTGGCTTTAGGTCAATCCAACCCACTGGCACAGTCAAAAGAATTCAACAGTTCCTGAATGCAAATGCTTCTGCATAGATTTTTCAGTGATATTAGGGTTATTATGGTAATCCCAAGTAGGGCGTCACATCCAACTCTTGGCAAATAACCCAGAGAACAAAAGCAAACAGCAAAACAAAACAATAAACAGACAGTAAAAACTCAAATGTCTGATAAAATGTCTGTTTCCTGTAGAGCTCCATCACACTCCCTCACTTTCAACCCAACCTTTGACTGCTGCAGCACCATGCCTGTGATACTGTAATGACCCGAATTTCACTGCTTTCAGGAACCATTGGAATTCTTTCAATTGACCAAATGGTTCAAGAGTTACGGGAGCTGCAGGTGTAAAAAATATAAACCACCTGTCTGACAGGTTAGATTTCAGAGGATTCAAATCTGATAACTGTGAGTTTCACCTGCTGGTTTTGGACTCAGTGTTGTTTGCCATCATTTTCACAAGATCAGCAAACTTTAGCCACCAGACGCTGCTGGTGCAGTTACCTCCAGAGCAGCCATCAAAATTCTCCAGAAGACTCTAACAGAACAAACACAATCCAAGGGACCAGTTCAGGGACTCCAGTTAGCTGAGGTGAAGTCTAGCAGACAGCTAGCAGCAAAGAGTCTGTGACAGCTCTATGAAACAGTGAGGATACTAAGCCAGTAACCCATGTTTCTATCTAGAATTAGGTTTTTATGCCACTTCTCTCACACTAAGCACAGCTTCCATCTGGGTAACAAAACACAACAATGACAGTGGTATTGCTCAACGTCCACCAAACACATCACGCCATGGGCAACAATGAAGTGAAATATCACTAATAAAACAAAGATCTGTGAAAACCAAACATGCACCAAAAAGTTGTTGTTGAGAAGCATAAAATATTAGAAACTATAACATAAGCATGTTTTATAACGAGGCTGTAATGACGACAGCAGCCTGCAGGGGCAGCGTTCGGGGTTTGATCCTCGTGACCAGCTGTCTCTGTGCAGGTAGCTGTCAGCTGATCGTGGAGCCTCAGTGTCACATGTTGCCCTACAATCAGACGTGGCTGTCCTCCTCCGTCGCCGTGGTGAAGAGCTCAGAGGTCGACATGTTGCTAAGGTAACAGTTACTTCCACTAAAAGTCATTGAATTATCTACATACAGCTATTTCATACTGCAAAGAAGACAACACAATTAAAGGCATCACCTCAGGTTGTGTCATGTCAGGGTTTCATTGCTTTTAACATTTAAATGATCCAAACGATTCATCAGTGAATCGATGAGTAGATGAGTGTTAGCTGGGCTCCCGGCGGTGACTGAACGCCAGTGTGTGTGTTTCAGGTTCTTCAGCTACCTCAGCAGACTCTCATGCTACAGACACATCATGCTCTTTGGCTGCTCGCTGGCTCTGCCCGAGTGCATCGCAGCTGACGGCGCACACAACAGGTAACACACACACAAACCTACAGTCAGCTGTTTCCATACACAGACCTTACTTGGCCTATTTCACAGCCTCTCCAGTTTCCATATAAGCAGCTCGTTGCTGTGGAGTCGTCAGTGTCGACCTTTCTGGACTTGACCTGGGATTGAAGATTGATTGAAGAGTCTGATGTGAGCTGGAGGGCCGCTCTGACCAGACGACAAACATAAAAAACTAAAAAATATAGAAACTATTTATATTAAGAGAAAGGTGGTGAGAAAAAACAAGTCCTGCTGCACTCTGGAAGCTGTTTATTTGCCGTCTGCTTCTTCTCAATCCACAACATGTCCACCTATTTTAATCTGTCCAGAACTGAAGCTGATGTTTGCTCCTTTACTTGTTACCACAGATTGTCCCTTATATTATCTGTAAGCTTCTTTGCTGTGACTAGAAAAGCAGCCTGAACCCTGAGTGGAACTTTGAGAAGATTGAAATATGGTCTTATCTGTTTCTCAGATATCACAGTCGTCTCTGGACACTCATAAAACTCATAATTAGACAATTAGAGCTCAGTGTTAGGTTGCTGTTTGATTGCAGTGTCAAATGTTCTCATCAGCAACACTATCCAGCTGCTCTGCTGCTCAGGGTGAGGGGAGATCCCAGGGCATTAATAAACCGTCAGCACGCTGCACGCTCAAACAGGTGGCGCCCTTATTATGTCTCAGTTTCAGCTTTTAGCACAGTGCCAGAGGCTCCAGGTGCAAACTCGGTCCAGAGTGAAACAGCTTTTCCTCGTTCCCTAGCATGCTGCTTTGTTCAAACAGCACGACAGCATGTTGGATTAGTTTCAGCGAATGTCCAGCTGCTGCTGACAACAACCAAACCATAGGAGGAAGCTACAGTCTGATAAGACACAGAATAAAGTGCATCTCTCCAAAGCTGTCAGGTGACCGTCAGGAATGTTGGAGGTACCAAAATGCTCAGGCCTTCTTTAAAAGCCTCACAGTGCCGAGCAGCTTCTTTCAGTTTACCTAAACCTTGAATCTCTAATGCGAATGTTGTCTTTCAGTTCCAGCACATTCAGCAAAGACTGAACTTTGTCTTCCTATAAAACACAAACAAGAACATGAAACTCAGCTGTTCACACAGTAAGTGGGACAGCAGCTGTATGTGTGTATATGGCTAATAATAACACCCTCACACCCTCCAAACTCAGAGGACACACACACACACACACGCACGCACACACACACACACACACACACACGCACGCACACACCTTCAGTGTCAGTGGTTTCAACTCCAGACGACCTCTGACAGGAGGATTATGGGACTTTTAATGTTTTAATGATGCTACCAGCTAACTGCTCCCTGACGTCCGCGTATGTGTGTGTGCAGGACGGTCGTGTTGCCCTGTGCGTCTTTCTGCGAGGCAGCGAGAGAAGGCTGCGAGCCAGTCCTACAGATGTTCAACGCCTCCTGGCCTGACTTCCTGCGCTGCTCCCAGTTCAGCAACACCACCTCTGCTTTGTCACCACCGTCATCACCATCATCACCTTCGCCAACAGGTCTCCTCACGTCACCTGCCTGCTACACACCGCGACAGATTAAAGGGAAACCCTGTGAGTACAAACCACACATAAAATCCTTCACTCAAAAACTGGAGCTCAGACCTCAGGGACCGCCAGTTGGAAAAATGAGCCAATCAGCTAATGTATTAGCTCAGATAATGTCATTAAAACATTCTAAAGGCTCCAAACTCAATCCAGAGTCCAGGTCAGGAACTCCAGTTAGCAGCTATCATCCACCTGACCCGTAATAGTACAAACTTTAAGCCTTAAACTTCTTAAAGGTGAATGAAATTTCCACCTGTTGTTATAATCGTTATCTACAGAGACCAGTTTTTGACCTATTTTTGTAGTAAACATGTTAATTTCTCCTATAAAGTTTTAAAATGGGAGTTTGTGGAAATGGACTTAGACAAGAATATGATTCGAATCTGAATAAAAGGTAGAGGACCAATGATAGAGCCTTGTGGAACTCCACAACCTGAAAACAGTCTGTGACGCCCTGTTCTCACAGTTAATCTGCTGGTTACTGCACTGAGTAAAAATGATTTGGGTTTGAACGTTTTCAGGTGAGATCTTGAAGTCACCAGTAAATACAGTTTCCATTTATGCTAGCTATTACGATGCATGTAGCCAAAGTCTTTTTTCCACAAAGTCTCATGTATTCAAACTTGTACAACTTCCCCGTCTGTATATCTGTGAAACTCCGAGCTTCTAATAATGATACTGAGACATTAAAACTGCAGTAAAAACCAACACAGTCACACATTCGTGTCTTCGAACCAGCTTCAAACCACATCGTGCCAGCTTACAAAAACTGAGAGGCACACAACCTAAAGACATGGGAGTTAGCAAAACGTGGACATGATGTCAATTTTCACATCAACGTTGTTCACGAGGCAGTGCGAGTATAGAATGACCCTTACAGGCTTCCTTTACATCTGCATTCATATTTTTTGTCTCGGTCTCTCATTAAGTTATACTTCTGGTCGTGACTGAAAACAGTTTCTCTATTGGCCAAGTGGACATTAGAGGGACTACAACTTTTTATACGTAATAAATATCGTTGTTGTACATCACTGCTGTACTCTCTCTCTGATTGGTTGGCAGCCGTATGTGGCGGGAAAGATCATTACTTGTGTGCGACTGGGATTTGCATCCCTCAGAAACTGGTGTGCAACGGCCACAACGACTGTGATGACTGGAGTGACGAAACACACTGTGGTGAGCGCACACACACACACACACACACACACACACACACACACTGTATTGTGGTCTGTGTAAATAGCAGGAAACGTTTCAGCCCGTTGTCATGGTGTTCGCAGGTGATTGAGAGGATGACAGTGGTATGGTCGCTCTGTCACAGAAAGGTGGTCGCCATGGTAATATAAAGAATCTATAGGCAGCGACTATCAGAAAGGCAAAAGGGGAGAGAGAGAGAGTTTTGTCTTTGTCTTTTAATGTCTCTCTCCCTCTTTGTGACCCCAGCCTTCTTTTAACCAGCAGAGGTTTATGTGGCTGTAAAAGTCACACATGACAACGAATGAAGGAAGAACGACAAACGGCTATAAAGTGAGAAACCAACACAACAGGAAGAACTGAAGAGGACAGGAGGGAGAGGACGAGAAGATTAAACATGAGACAGTTTAACCAATATTCATCAGGTCTCCTGTGACGCGTTAGTTTGAAGTTCACATCCTTTATTTGGAGTCTTTACCTGTTTCACATTCCCTATGGAAATGTTATAACAGACAAACTGCAGGGGCACGAGAGAGCTGATTTCAAATCTACATCTTCTAGTATTTAGAACTATTTATAATTTTTAGGGTTTTAAGAGGTTAAAGACAAAAGAAAGTGCAAAAGAGGCCAGACTTAACCATTCATAAATGTGAAGAAAAGAAAAAGCAAAACAAAAACAGGGAGCCAGAAACAAAACAAGAGGAAACAAAATAAAGAAATCAGTCGAATGAACCACAGTGCTGCTGAAAAGCTTCAAGATTTGACAAAACAGGTTATTTAAAAGGTTTGTGGATTGTTAAAAAATGTTCCATTACATCTGTCTTCTGTTTTTTTACTCTGTGCTCTCTCAGGAACGTGATTATTATTATGAAGAAAAATAAATATCTAACATGAGATAAAGGAAAGCACGAGGAAAAGTGTAATGAAAAGAAAAAACACATGAAGAAGAAGTGCTGATCATGTCTCTCTCTCTATCAGTGTGTGCAGATGGCGAGTTTCACTGTAACACGGGTCGGTGTCTCTCGCCCGCTCTGGTGTGCGACGGCTATGACGACTGTGGAGACCTGAGTGATGAGCTCAACTGTGGTAAGACCATACACACACACACACACACACACACACACACACACACACACACACACACACACACACACACACACACACATCCATCACAGAGTATCACACACTCAGGGTGACGCAGTTTGGCAGCTCGGGATCAGCTGTGAAATCAGAGAGAGGGGAAGTGTGGACCGGGGGAATCCACCACCTGTCCATCTGACACACACAGACACACACACACACAGAGACACATTTTTGTATCTCTGTGAGGACCCACGCTGAAAGCATCACCAGGCTCAGCTGAGATAAACAGTCTGGGATCGAAGCCAGTTATCATTCCTGCACTGAGGCAATGCAACATATCAGTCTAACTGCTAAATTACAGGAACGCCACAAAGCTGAATTCATTAAAAGTGGAGCTGCTCTGCTCATTTTTACCTTTGTATTTCTGTTCTTCATACACTACAGTAGCTTTACATGAGTTCAAAATCAACTTTTTAAAAAGTATTATTTTGGTCCTCTGTGCAGCCAGTCAGTTCATCCTCTGTCTCGAACAAACTTTAGCTCCTCTTTAAAGCCAGCTATCTTCTGATATCCCTCACCAGCAGAAGGATATAACAGTATCTAATCCCTCTCTGGGACACTAAAGATCCAGGATAGGGACAAAAGGGAGCACTTAGAGCATTAAATCAATCAAATTTCCGAGTCTCATCATTTCATATCGTGTCTTTGTATCCCTATCCTTTAAATAAAGGCTTTAACTGTAATGTTAAATGTTAATAGAAGATTAGCTCAGTCCAGAGGTCGTTCATGTTATTTATTTTATCTGAGTGTAGCTAATTGTATGTTTACAGTGTGTGATGTGGCCCGGGAGCACCGGTGTGGTGATGGGCGCTGCGTGTCCAGAGACTGGCTCTGCGATGGGGACCACGACTGTCTGGACAAGAGCGACGAACTCAACTGCTGTGAGTGACAGCTAGCTTAGCTTTGAGACATCAGTCATGTTTATAACTGGTGATTAATCTAAAGTTGTGTTCAAATCGATATTTAATTGATTAGGAAAATAGTAGCCATGGCAACTGCTGACTTTTTCCATAGACAGTGTTGGGAAGGTTACTTTTAAAATGTATTCCATTACAGAATACAGAATACATGCCCCAAAATGTATTCTGTAACGTATTCCGTTACGTTACTCAATGACGGTAACGTATTCTGAATACTTTGGATTACTTAATATATTATCATGTTTTTTACAACAACGTGAATGTACTATTGCTGTGTGATTTATTACTATTACTGAAGGTCCGCAACTCCGAACTGTAGTAAAGGGACCTCTGACTAATACGGCGGGGTCCCTGTCAGCTCGTAGCCGAAAAATAGCTTTACTTTGTTGTGTGGGTCAACTTTTCTTGCGAGAGACAGAGAGAGGCGTTGAAAGGCTGCTCCAACGGAACTTATTGTTTTCGGAGGAAAACACGAACACGGTGTACAGTCGAGTCTTAATAGCTTACTTACAACTGGGCTCGTCAGGCACTCTTCTTGGCTGCAGTGGTTATTATTATATTTACATGGTTCCAGCTCCCCTTTTTGCTCGATGACTGCTCGTACCTTTCCACTCCCCTTTTTCTCCCTCCTCGCGCTCACAGACACATAACGTGTATGGCAGTCCATTCTCCCTGCAGCACAGACTACACTGCCCATGATGCTACATTCTTTAGAGCTATGCTTGTAGCATTCTGCCTGTTAGCTTAGCACAACAACAACAACAACGAAAAGGCGCTCTCTCACCCAGGAAACACACAGTCGCAGAGAGAGAGAGCGTCGCCCTGTAACCATGGCAACCGTAACGCTGCCGCCTGGAACAACAGAACATAGCTGTCAAACAAAACCCAAACAGTCCTGACCCGCGACAAAATGAAACAGGAAAGTACCGCAGTGTAATCCATTTATTTCAACAAAGTAACTGTATTCTGAATACCACCTTTTTAAACGGTAACTGTAACGGAATACAGTTACTCATATTTTGTATTTTAAATACGTAACGGCGGTACATGTATTCCGTGACTCCCCAACACTGTCCATAGACAACCACAGAAGGATTTAAACTAAGAAATGAGAGGTTTAACTTCGCTCATAATTTAAACAACTTACTACTTACACTTTGTTTGCTACTGGTTGTTCCCATTTTCACAGCTCACTGAGCTCAGCAAAACTTTCCAGTGGTACACACTGCCCTCTGGTGGTGCTTTCATGTGGTGCACTACCAAAAAACAGCATCTTTGGATCAGTTAAAAGAAAAAAAATGGAACTGCAGCAGGAACAAATGTACATATAGATGAAAGGACTGAATAGTGAATGTGAAGAAAGCTTTAGTCTGCCTCACATGGTTTCCACTCCGAGGGAAACGTGACAACTTGTGAGCGCTCAGCTGATTTACTGCTGTGTCACGTGTTACTATAACTCATCAAAAATGACAGTAAGTGTGTGTGTGTTTGCAGCTTGTAAGAGTCAGGGTCTGCTGGAGTGCAGGAACGGTCAGTGCATTCCTTCCGCGTTTCGCTGCGACGGCGAGGACGACTGCAAAGATGGCAGCGATGAAGACAACTGCACCGTAGACCAGAGTGAGACTCTGTCTGTCATTAGAAGCAAAATCACACTAAAAGAAAGTTCAGACAAACTAACCTTTTGACCATAAAAGCTGTTATAAAAGACAGAAGATCATTCAGATGAACAAACATCTCACACATGACTTGGTAAATCTTAGATCCCTAATGACTAAGATAATAATTCATTTTCAAAGCTAATCACATCCTAATCGTCACCACAAGACAACACTTTTATTCATAAAGCAGCTTTCCTGCACAGAGGCAGATTCTTAAAACTTAAAACAAGTTACAGGAGCCAAACTGTTATATATACTGACTGTTCTTCAAACTAGACACAGTTCATTAGCTATCAGGGCCTTTTTGATTGGTTTGACTCACTTTGTAAAGTCTCACCTTCTGCCTGCATGTCACCCTGTCCCAGCAATCCTCCTCTGTCACACATCTCCAACATCCTATTTCCAGTATTTCCACTATAGCGCCTTACCTGTGTGTGTGTGTGTGTGTGTGTGTCCAGGTCAGGGTGGATGTGTTCCCGGTCAGCCCAGCTGTATTGCCACTTCCTGTCAGCCCATGTGTGCTGGCGGCAACGCCGTGTGCGACCCACAAAGCAACAGCAGCTGCAGTGAGTCATCAACAAACTGTCCTCACAAAGATAAATCTGACAATGAGAAGCTTGTCACATTTAACCCTTTATCACCCAAGTATCATACCTGGATTTACTTTTTAATTTTGGCTGTAAAATTACAAAAAACTCATCTTTCAGTTTCCAGTTGAATTTTCTATTTAACCCAAAATGCGGAGTTACAGTAATGAGGTGCACAGATGGTAAAATGCAGGCGGTGATGCCTCTGTGTTCACACAGCAGCATCTTCTGAATCCAATATCCTAATCTGATACTGCGAATCGCCCAGTGAAGCTTGTGCCTGGTACATCTGTGAGGCTCCATTAATGCCGACCCATATCCTCATGTTTAGGAACAACATCTGCTTCATCCAGATGATGTTTTTTTGTTTTGTTTTTAAAGATTGTTTCAGCATGATGATGGCAAACAAATCATTTTGCTCATATTTCAAAAGCAGGTCTCTGTAGTAAAAGAGTCTGACTGTTAACCTGTCCTGTCTGCAGGTCAGACCTGCTATTGTCTGAAAACATCTGGAGCTTTATCAGATGAAAAACACAATAAAGGAAGTCCAGAGCTTTGAGCAGCTGGAATTCTGTATGAAGCAGAAACATTTAGCTCCTGAGGAAATGGTCTCATCAGTCCCCACACACTTAAAATCACATTTTCACATATTCCTACATGACTTTAAAAACATTCTGCACTGTGTGTTTCCTTCTTTTTACTTCTTAGCTTTTATTTTGACATTTTAAAGTAATTAGCTTCTAACTTACAGGCTGAAGTTGATTCATGCTTGGATGTATTTTAAACCTAAAAATGGAAGTTAGTCATGTCGTATGCATTATGTGGGTGACAGTGTGTAGGTTTCCCTCTCGTATTAGTCTTCACTCTGCGCTCTGTGTCCCAGCTCGCTGTGAGCCAATCAGCCTGGAGCTGTGTATGAATCTGCCCTACAACCTCACCAGCTTCCCCAACTACCTGGGTCACCTGTCCCAGAGAGAGAGCTCCGTGTCCTGGGAGTCCTCTCTGTTCCCCGCTTTGGTCCAGACCGGCTGCTACCAGTACCTAATGTTCTACGCCTGCACGCTGCTGGTACCAAAGTGTGACCCGGTCAGCCTGCAGAGGGTGCCGCCCTGCAGGTCAGCGCACAGTCAGCTAGTTAATCATCACTTTATTCCTCTGGAAGGTTTCAGATATCTTTCCTCTCCCCTTCTCTCACTCTCATACAAATAAATAAACTCTGTCCTCACCTCTCGCCCTGCAGGTCGTTGTGTCGTAGTGCAAAGGAGAAGTGTGAGTCGGTGCTCAGCATTGTGGGATTGCAGTGGCCGGAAGACTCAGACTGCAGTCAGTTTCCAGAGGAGGGAGGAAACACAACCTGCCTGCTGCCAGAGGCCGGAGTCGACGGTACACTCCGTTTGTCCCGAAGACGGTCGCTGAAACTTTCTGCTCCTAAAACTAAAATCTTCTGTTTAATGTGTGTTTTCGTGGTGACAGAGTGCTCTCCGAGCCACTTCAAGTGCAGGTCAGGTCGCTGCGTGCTGGCAAGCAAACGCTGTGATGGACACCTGGACTGTGACGACCACAGCGACGAGGACAACTGCGGTGAGTCGTTTCAGAGTCATCGAGGCCGCCGCGGCCTCATCGAGACGAATGCTTCAGCAGTTTAGTGCAGCAGGTCATGATCTCACCTTTCTGTCTGTCAGGCTGCTCTGAGCGTGCTCTGTGGGAGTGTCCCGGCAGCACAGTCTGCATTAAAGCCAGCATGATCTGCGATGGGTTCCCAGACTGCCCCCAGCTGGTGGACGAGACCAACTGCTGTAAGACTCCCTGATGTTGATGTTATTATGTTTTGTTCTGCGCTGGGCCAACAATCCCCTTCCTGACTGTATTATTAATGATATCCATTCATATTTCCTCAGCGGTGTGCAGGGATAACGAGCTTTCCTGTAACAACCATCAGTGTGTCCATCGCACTCTGTGGTGTGATGGAAAGAAGCACTGCTCAGACAGCTCCGACGAATGGAACTGTGGTAGGATAGTCCCACTTTTAAAACGTTGGGTTGTTCTTTAATATGTTAACAGGGACACCTGAGTGCAGCTTTGGTCCTTCTACTTTTCATCCTGCAAAATCACTCTCTGTGTCTGCTTATTTAAACATTCACTAACTATTGATAATGATGAAACAGCAGAGAGTATTTGTAGTAGGAAGCTGTGTATCATCTGCGTGAAGTGAAGTTCAACATGATAAAGTTGCACAGGGAACATTTATTTACTGGTTTTAAAAAAAGGAATTTCGGACGTGACTTATAAATATTTTACAGTATTTCATCTCTGATGAGTATTTACTATCCAAACATGCGCTGATCTGTTCTCTCTGCAGTGTCTCTGTCCGATCGATTGGGCTCTGTGCTGACGGTGTTTAAGACGGCGGCAGAGTATCAGGTCTGTGCAGATGAGTGGAACGACGAGCTGAGCGAACTGACCTGCAACCAGCTGGGACTAGGGTAAGGTTAGTAACACACGCACACGTTATTAAAGACTTTCTTCACATTCAAATATTTTTATTTATGATGTGGAGAGAAATGAGACGAGTCCCCAAAGTGTGAAGTAAAAACATCCAGTTGGACTTCCTGTCTTGTGTTTCCCCGCCTGGCTGACCAGCTCCTTGATATTCGTTCAGAATCTCACCTCCGACTCCAGCTGCATCATCCCGGACTGCAGCTGACAGGCTCAGACTGTCCTCTGCTCTGAAAATCAGTTTTGAGACGGTTCAGTTACTGCAGTTCAGAACAGTGGAGTTGGAGTCTGCCCTCGGGATGAGAAACTGACTGGAGACACGTTATTCTGAGGGAAACTCTAAATACATACACAAACCATCTAAAAGTAGTTTTTAGACGTGCACTGCAGGCATTGATCTTTGTAGACATTACCCAGAGGAGCTGGAGGTGAAAACAGATGTCTGACTCACAGATGGGCTTTATCCTGTCAGATTTATCCTTGTAAAAGTAATTATTTGTGGATTTATTCTGTGAGAATAGAGCAGGTAATTGTCAGGTGAATTCGGTGTTCTGTCTCGTGCACACTCCACCCAGACAGCTTCACTGACCTAAAGCAAACACATTGTTTCCTGCAGTGTGAGCATTTCTGAGTTTCTGATGGAATAAGCATATTGTGTTTGTCTCTGCAGGGTTCCCTCCTCTGTTTCCAGGGTGCCTGATCAGCCCGGCGTCCAAGGCCGTCGACGCTGGTTACACGTCCACCCCGAGTGGCACCAGAGGAACGGTTCTGCTCTGCAGGCCCGGCTGGAAAAGAGAAGGTAAGAAGCTTGTGGTGAGTCGGTCAAAGAGACCAAACTGAGGCTGATTTAATAAGAGGGCCTCAGTCCAGCACGGAGTCTGTCTGCCGGTCACTGATGTTAAAAACTGTCTGCAGTATCTGGGCTGAGCCCATCAGGCAGGAAACAGGACACCTGTTCAGGCAGGATGTTGTCTTACCTGGCTGTTTTGAAGAATCACTGTGAGCTGGTGTCGCGGTGATGTGTTTATAACAGATGTTTCTCTGTCTGTCCTGCAGTCATGCGTGTCACTCCAGGCAGAGAGTTTCAGTCCTGTGTACCAGAGAAGGTAAACCTTCTTCTTTTATCCCTTACTTACTGATTTCTCTCAAATCAGTGTGTTTGTAGAAGCATGTTAAAGTGGATGTGTTTAACCTTTCCCTCATAGTCTTGCTCTGGTGGTGGATGCTCATAAAATAATTATGAGGTCAATAATGGGTTTTTTTCTGCTCTGGCTCTGTATGATGTCACAGAGAGCATCTATATCGTTATCTCTGATGTTCCAGCCATTCAGGGTTTGACTTGTAAAGGATGGAGCTAAAAATGCCTGTTTTTAAGGGGCTGTGCAAAGGCCCAGTGTGAAATAAAGAAGTGTGATTTTGAAGCTACTGTAGTTGAGTTGAAGAGTCAAACGGAGGTACTTTGTATGAGCAGGAGTAGATCAGCACTGTCACTCCTCCTGCTACCAACAGATGGAGCTCAAATTTCAAAGTTTTTGTCAAAGCAGCCACATTCAGCGCTACAGTCACTTATACACCGTTATGTATGAGGCCCAGCTGTTGATGCTGATCAACAGCTGGACCTGCACTCAAGGTTTCAGTGTAGTTTGGTATTTTGGAGTTCAGACGTCCAGCTGCTGTCTGACTGATGTTGACTGTCAGATTCCAGAGATGGTCACCTTCTGACCAATTATACTGCGTTCTCTGTCACAACCTGCAGGTTGTCTGTAGGTTGACTGAAGCAGACATAACAATTATAGACTGTATAAATCACAGCGTGATGCAGAGGCCTCGTCATTTTAAAGCCTTTACCTTATAACTGTATGGCTGCCACCATATTGGAGCCTGAAGTGACGATCTGTTAGTACAATTAACCACACACCAGGTATATCAATATTATTATTATCATCATCATTATTATTATTTATCAGATAATTGCATTAAAAATGCTTCAAAAAGGCTCCAACTGTACAAACACAGCTCAGGAACTCAAGTCGCCGTCCTGCTGTCAGCCAAAGAGGCCACGCCCCCATGAATATAACTTTAATAATTAACATGGCATCAGAGACCAAAGCCGTTTTCTGTATTAGGCTGTAAACATGTTTGTTTCTGGTGTAAAGTGGACATTTAACACGGGAGTCTATGTGGGCTGTTGCCCTTTTGGAGCCTCAAGTGGACGTTGGAGGAACTGCAGGTTGCTGGTTGGCTGGCTCATCATAAACAAATCCACTTTGTCTCTTTGTTGCCGTCAGAGTGCGGTCTACGCCAGGCGGTGGGCCTTCACCCTCACAGGAAGAAGCGGATTCTGGGTGGCCGGGTGTCCCGGCGGGGGGCGTGGCCCTGGCAGTGCTCGCTGCAGAGCGGTCAGAGCGGACACGTCTGCGGCTGCGTCCTCATCGCCCGGAAGTGGGCTCTGACAGTCGCGCACTGCTTCGAGGGGTAAGTCTTCAGGATGTGTCGTCAGTGAGCCACATTTTATTTTAACCTCACACACTAACGGTGTGTGTGTGTCACAGGAGAGAGAGTGCAGACCTGTGGAAGGTGGTGCTGGGCATTAACAACCTGGACCACCCAGGAGCTCACAGTCAGAGCCGAGGGGTGCGCTCCATCATCGTACACCCGCGCTACAACCGGGCGGTGGTGGACTACGACATCAGTATAGTGGAGCTGGACTCTGAGGTCAGAGCGTGCTGCTGCACAGGATCGAGTATCAGCTGTAATCGCACTGGACTGATGAGGCGTGTTAATGTTTGCAGATTGAGGAGACGACCTTCGTCAGACCGGTGTGTCTTCCTCAGCCGGGCCAGCTGCCTTTACCCGACTCCTACTGTTACATCACCGGCTGGGGTCACATGGGCAACAGGAGTGAGTACATACACACTTCAGTCTTTGGCCGTATCCCACTCCTAACCTTAGACTAAACTCGCTTTTTGTACTTATAGCACAAGTAGGCACGCACACATCTTTCAATCATTTTTTGTCTACCAGAGTTTTATTCTCGTCACGTAGAGTCGGTGCATTTAGACTTTGCAGAGTCCTGCTCTCTGTCTTCATCTGCTGGTTGAAAAACATCAGGCCGGCAGCTCTTTTTGAAAGCAGAAAGAATGAGCCGAGTCAGAGAGGCTCTGCTCTCGTTATTCAGATTCACTCTGAGAGAGAGTGGATGTAACTCACTTTCTCATGCTGCTCTGTGCTCAAGCGCTCTAAATCTAGACTCCATCCCCGCGAAAGTTACATAAACTTGAAATCATGCAGCTTGGTTTGAAACTACAAAGCTTTCTCCTGCTTGTAAAGTTGTAACTGATGTTTCATTAAACTCTCAAACTAGTTTCATTCATTTCAGATTAGCTAGCAGTTAAGCAAGAAGACTCTTCGCGTAGCTTACCAAAGATATTGTGTGGATTGAAATGTGACGAGCTCGGAGCGCGTCTGGTCTCACTGTTGCACCCACACATGTGTCACAGGACCGACGCCGATCCTGGGAATGCTCCAGGCGTGGCCGGGTCGCGTGGCCGGGTCGCGTTCCAGCTCCGATGCAGCTGCTGCAGCTGGTTGTTTCCACTCAGGAAAATATTCGAGATTCCACCAGATACACACCAGCGTGTTTCAGAAGGGTCACACAGGTGGCTCCAAAAATAACACCAAGTCTATCGTTTTTATTCTATTTTCACCTCAGTCTCCATAATCATAATCATAATCTGCCTTTTCACTCAATTTAAGTGCTCAAGACGCTTTCTACTCCACGTCTCAATCACCTAATCATGCACTCATGCAGTGATTTTATGTACGCCTAGGCAGCTTTTACATTTACACACTTAGACACCAGAGGATGCATCAGGGGCAACTCGGAGTTCATTTTTATGTCCAAGGACACTTGGAACTAACAAAACGACATAAAAGACGTGCTCTTGTTAGTCGCCAAGAGCGTCCTCCGTGTGAAAACAGCGCTCATTCCTTCTGATCTTTGAGCTTTAATGTCCTGTGAAAGGAAAGCTCAGAGTACTTCGAGAGCCTTAGCGCTCTTATTATATTTAAAGCCTCCTCTTCATCCTGTGTGTTTGTGTGCAGTGCCCTTTAAACTGCAGGAAGGCGAGGTCCGGATCATCTCTCTGTCTCAGTGTCAGTCCTACTTCGACATGAAGACCATCACTCCCAGAATGCTTTGTGCCGGCTATGAAGCTGGAACCGTCGACTCCTGCATGGTAACATCTGCACCAGTCCAGCATGAAGTACCGAGGCCACACAGTTTCTCAGTGTGTGTGTGTTTAACGTGTGTGTTCAGGGTGACAGCGGCGGCCCACTGGTGTGTGAGGAGAGCAGCGGTCGCTGGACGCTGTTCGGCCTGACGTCGTGGGGCAGCGTGTGCTTCAGTAAAGTGCTCGGACCCGGGGTTTACAGCAACGTCACGCACTTCACCCCCTGGATCCAACAGCAGATCTACATCCACACATACCTGACCGACTGACACATACGCTCACTCACCTGACACTTCCTGCTCCAAGCTCTCATTCATTCCAGAAGGAAGTGATGTCATCATCAGCCACAACACACGTTCAGTTCCTTAACCTGTGCCTATACTGATAGCCTTCAGACGCTGTGTGAGCAGCAGCTGATGTTGTCGGTGATTGAAAGTTACATCCATACAATCAGTCACTGAACTCTGACCTTATTGTTTTTATTACTCGACACATTCAAACCTACAAACATCACAGAAACAAAAACATAACCTCTGTGACGGTTAACCAACGCTCAGTGCTTCATGCTGGACTTTATACTAAGATACTTTTAAATTATGTAGTTCGAACCAACCATTGAACTTCCTGGGGCTGAGAAAACGACGAAGCGTCAAAGACGGCAGTTCCTCTGCTGGGCTTCATCTCAGCTAACTGAAGTCACAGAAAACACCCAGGACACTTTCACTTTTCAATTCAATTTATTTCAGTTCAACTTTATTTATATAGAACCAAATCACAACAACAGATACATCAAGATGCTTTATATTGTAAGGTAAACAGTAAAGTCTGTTTAAACTCTGGTTAAACTCCATCATGAGACATTCAGCAGTGGTTTCATTTCACAGCTTTTTGCTTCTGTCACAAACTACACTATCCTCACACAGACCTAACAACTGCTCAAAGAAGTGTATCCCCAGATCAGCTGGTGAGTGGTTACTGGAGTTGGATGGGTGAAACTGGTTAAAAAGATGCTGCTCAAAACCTCTAGTTTGACCAGTTCAATCAGTCCAAGCCAAACAGATTGCAAAGGTTGCATCGAAGCTTGTCTGCAACTGCTCGCCAAGCAGAAGGAAAACATAGAAGTGTGATGTTTGACGTGCAGTCGGCAAGTAGTTGCAGGTTGGAGGTTGCGAACCAGCCTCCAGCCCTGTGTGAGAGAGGACTTAGAGCAGTAGTTCAAACTCAACATTGTGATGTTCATGTGTATCAGATGGCACATGGTCTGTTTCCAAGAACTCCATAAACTTCTTGTTCAAACTTTAAATCAGCATTAAAGCAGAAAAACTCCATTTCACAGTCATTTTCTCCGGCTACTTTGCCGGAAATACTCCTCAAGGTTTCTGAAGAACATTGTCTTAAGGAGGAGCTAAAACAGCTTGTTTCAGACATGGCCCAGTATAAGTTAAAGAAGGATTATTATAAAGTGTGACTCATGCACAGCTACTCTAGAAACATCAAGGAATACAAATATGGAGCTGGAAATGAGCAGGATAGATTCACTTACTTACCTAACTCATTAATCCCTATTTTAAAAATTATTTAATAACAGCAATTAACAGATTAATGATAGTTTTGCAGCTGTGATACAAAATTGTGTTTGTGCTAAACATCCTGTAAGCAGAAGCTAAATCTGCTATTTCAGAGAAGATTGAGGACTGTTTCCCGGACTGTAGCTGTGAAACCGAACATTTTAATGATATTAAGGCGTTTAGCGCTGAAGCTGCTAAAACAGACCAGCCGAGCACTCATTTTCCCACAATGCTTCACTCTATAGTGCCTAGCAGTAAAAAAAAAAAGAAACAAAACAAAAACAAAAAAAATTTGTTACTTGTACAATGTCGTACTGTACGTGTGTGTGTGAGTGTAAGCTGCTGTGTGAGCGTCAGAAAGTGCTTCAAACCACACTGGCAATTTATATCAGGCAACTTTGATGGTCAACATGTAACTTTGTTCTCGCAGCTGCTAGTTACATTTATTTTCTTTCAGACAGAAACCTCTAACTGACCCCCCCGACCCCAGTCGTGCTGTATAATGGCACATGAAGATGTAACACAAGCTTTATTTTTGTATATAGCATACACCAATGTAGTTTTAAGCCGTGTTTATTCATGTTTGTTTACGATAATGAAAAATGTCTTCAGAGGTGAAGTTAGAACAATGCAGATCATTAGCCTTTAAAGTTTCTGGCTTACAGATATATCGTTAGTAACGTAAACAGTTAATAACACGCTTATTATAAATGATAAATCAGGGGACTTGAAGTAAAGTTTTACCCAGTTTTTATCTAAAAGTAACCTAAATGTTCATCAAAGTGGATAAAGCGCAAAAAAGCAAATATTTAAACTGCCTGTGAAGTATAACTTTAACGTATTGCTAATGTGGAAACATTAGTGTTAATCCAAATGTTAACATAAGACATATGAGCTTTATCTCATGTATCAGACGGTCAGACTGTAGTTTAAAGCTAGCAGACTCACTAACACAAACGATTAACTGCCAAATTAGCGCCAGCTAGAGTACGAAGCACAAATGTAGCACAGTATAGAGCGTTTAATGATGTGTTTTCATAGCGTTAGCACTAAGCTACATTAGCTTTTGCTGTGTATTTACAAGCCGTTTAGGTCCAACTGTTCAACAGTAACAGTTTTCACACCGTAGCTGAACTAGAAGGAGGAAAAAAGATATTAAGACTTCATTAAAACTCACAACAGACGGTTTGTTTGCAGTTTACGTGTTCTGACGGCGTTTTTTTAGATGACTCTTCAAACATGGAGAGGGTTGTGGAAAAAAAAGGTTGAATTTTCTTTGTTGCAGTACTCCGAGTGATCACTGGGGTGTTGCCTCTATTTACATACACATGTTTACCACATTTATGCTTTAAGCTAACTGCCTCACACTGAATTCACTGAAATATTAATGGTAACTGTTTTTGTTTGTTTTGTTTGCCTCATATGTGTGACAAAAATACTCACACAGACAGCAAAGAAGCATCAATACAACAGAGTAAAACCCTGACTCATACTGAGGCCTCAGTCACACAGGCCTAGAGACACTCAGCAACCTCTGGTCACAGGGGGAAACGTGTATTCCTCAGTCGGTTGACAAGTGGTTGCTAGCTGTTGCCAGGTGAAATCAGTCACAACAAAGGTGAACCACCAAAAATCTCCACGTGATGGTTGGTTGTTAGCAGTTTGCAGTGACTCCTCCTAATTTGTCTGCAAGACATCTTCTCATTTTTCCCTGGCACACAGTGGTTGCCCAGTGGTTGCGAACCAGTCTCTAGGCCTTGTGACTGGAGCCTTAGACTTCTGGGAGATCTGGTGGAGCTAGTGGACATGCAGGCGGTGATTCCTGTTTTTCTCCACCAGAGGCTCCAAAAGGCTGAATGCTGGTCATAATACACCCTGCAGTTATCTGGGCTTTTGTTTCAGAAAGCAGGTTTAGTGAAAACTCTGAGTTTGTTAAACCTGAGACGTAAGTTTAAAACTAAGGTGGAAATGTTTCACTCATCGTGTCCACTAATGAATAATTGGAGGCTGTGAATTTGTTTCACTTGGCGAGATCAACATTTTAGCACTTCTCCCCATTTTGACTCCCTGTTAACCCAGTGGAAGAGTTGCCCAACGAATTGCCCCGTTGACCTTCTGTGCTGAGGTCGGACTCACATCCAGAACATTCCAAGTTGCTGCTGCTGATGTTGTTTTGTGTGTTTGGTTTTTAAGAGTATTTTCTACAGCGTTTTGTATGTCATGCTTCTTACACAGGGCTGTTAGTGTGTGTGTGTGTGTGTGTGTGTGTGTGAGCACACAGTCACATGTAAGGACTGTGTGTTTGTTTCTTCCTGATTTAGCTGTTATGACTTTGTTATCATGATGATGATGATGAGTAATGTTTGATTATATGGATTCAAATGCTTTATGGACAGACTGTAGCCTTTAATGTTTGTGTAAACAGTGAATATTTGGTTTATATCATCTTGTATCACACTAATAAACTTATACACACACTCTCTCTTCTGTGTGTGTTTGACCTAAAGTGCTCTAAACGCAAGTCATGAAAGGTTTGTCGAGGGTTATGTTTAGATTAAGTAATGTGCGACTGCATATGTGACTCACGGCGTGTCTGCAGAGGCGTCACGTCTCTTTCCACTTCCTCTAGTCCAGAAAAAGAGATAAATAATGGAGATGTTGAGTGTCAGAAGTATCTTTAGATGGAGATTAAATAGAATGTGCTCAGACTGGAGAACTGTGCTCTGGTAATAATAAAAAGCCTTAAAAACACACTGGTTTAGTTAAAGACGAGCACCGTCCCAATAGGCTTGCTACACAAACAGGTGCACATTTTTATCAATTGTGCTTCCTTCAAAAGCTACCTGGAGTTAGTTGTGTGGGTTGTAGAGGGTCCCTTCCCCAATAAATAAAGACAGAGAAAGTCTGTTAGCTGACAAAGACTGAGCACAGAAACCACACTTCGAGTGCAATTACAGTGTGTGAATGTGTTGCTTTGCTTTGCTCACAAAGTATTTCAAACACAAGATCAGTGCTAACAAATATTCTCTAAAAACCCAGGAGATCATTTAAATCCAAGCAAACTGTCTATGAACAGATGAAACCCACGACTCCGAGTGTGCTGCAAAGATCCCACCAAGAACAGAGGTGGAAATAACCTGAAGAAGGTACCACAGAAAAAGATGGCAGTGGGGGTATCATCATTGTGGTATCACCACTTTGCTGTCCTGCAGTAAAAAAATATAAACATATGAAGCATTGCTCATTTACTCGCAGTGTCAGCGTTGTCTTTTTCCATTACATGCTTTATAGACTGTATAGATAATGTCTACGACTGAAGTAGGCAGTACTTTGATTTTGCCTGGAAGAGTCGAATAATCCATAAAACCCGTGAGAGCACAACCAATCACAACACACAAATATCGTTTCCATGCATGGATGTTTTCAAACTGAAATGCAAATGCAATTATCATTTCACTTTCACATTCTGGGTGTTCCTACATTCACCCATCTACCAGATATATAAAAATGTAGTATTTTTTTATCAAATATTTGTGTACGCCATATAGATGCGACAATCACAGTGGACTATGTCACAGCAAACAAAGAGCAGAGAGCCAAGAGCGACAAAGGTCCCTGCATTTCTGTTGTTTCTGTCATCGGGTTTAAAACACCAGGACATGACCACAAGTTTAATTCATACTTAATACAATATGCACAGTCATGAATACGCTGGCAGTGGTGCTGGTCACATCGCAGGCGCTACATGGAGTCACTACAACAGTCTAAATGAACAGGTTTGCAGGTCCGGGTCACTGCTGTGTGCATTTAAGCAGAGATGCCCAGACTGTTGACTTACAAGGAAGCACCTCAGCTGGGAGGCATCCACGAGGCATGATAGTCAGGTCCCTGAACCACTTCAGCAGGCTCCTGTGGATGTGGACAGCCTTCAGAGGCAGCTCTTACCTGCAACCACAGCTCACAGACAGAGCAGATCGATCAGTAAATCAGCAGCTTTGCATTCACATTCAGGTCTCTCTCGACCACAGATAGTTACAGTGCCCACATTACTGCAGACGCTGCACCGATCCATCCACCAGTCTCCTCCTTTCTCCCTCGCTCACAAACCCCAAGATACTTAAACTCCCTCATTGGGGCAGCATCTTACTCCCAGTCCAGAGTGCTGCTGCCGTCCTGTTGTTCACATCCTCAGTCTGGTAACCGCTGATTCTCCAAGCAAACATCTCAAACAAAACAAAGTAGAACGTCCAAACATCTTGTCTCACTTGGCGAGCATCACAAACAGTATTCGTCACAACTTCCTGACTCTTAAGAAGATAATACCCTGATGGTTTAATAGTTAGTTGCAGAAGCAAACCACTAATCCTCAGATACGGCGTGCGTGCACAGGTGTGGTTGTTGGATCACAAAGCAGTGGTTTCATCGTTTCATCGCGCCTCTCAGCTCTGATTTAACTCCTCACATGAACATTTCAGTTTCTACAAAAAGGTCAAAGCTGGCCGTCACCTCAGCACCTGCGCGCGGCGTGTTAACGTCAGGCGTCCAGTGTAAATGCTGCATGTGCGCACACACGGACACACACCTGCTATTATGTGTATGATAATGTTTGTGTCTGCTGCCCTGCAGCCTGGCATTAATACAGAGGACTCAGGGTTACTGCGACCTGTGTTCCCATAATGCCAGGCTTTACCACGCGTGTGTGTCTGTGTGTGACGTCTGTCATTCTGCACAGCGACAAACACAACAGAGTTAAAACCGTCTGTTGTTAACACGCGGCAGACACTCGCGTCCTCCGTCTCTTGTTGCTGCTTGATGACTAAGTCGCCTGCTGCTCTTTGTTCCAGTCACACAACTTTTCATCAGCTCAAGGTAAGAGCCTGAGAAAATGAGAATAATTCAGCTTTTATGGGTACGTGATGGGAAGTGTGTGAGGTTTCAGTGAAGCTGTCAGCTGGGACTGGAGGGAACATTTGTCCTTTGTTTTGGGTTTACGTGGAGATTTCTGTGATGGGCTGAAAAGACCTGAAGTGGAAATGGAGAGTAGTTGGACTATACTGTTTTACTTTTGCTTACGCACAATTAATGAAGCAGTGTGTTGATCAAGTACTGAGGCCAACTATTTATTTTACTTGAAATGCCAATTTTCACATTTTTAAGAGAAAAAACTGCATATTTATATATATGCATATATTATTTATATATATTATTTTAAAAAATAATTTCTTTTAGAAATAAGTTAAAGTTTGCCTGATATGTCTTACTCCTGCATCACTGTATTTCCAGGTAAAACTGCACATTGTATGTAACTTTGCTTTTCTGAAGGCTTCAGTTATTAGTCATGCAGTAGATTAAGAGATTACAGTAAGGGTGGCGTTAAAGATGAAAGATTTCCAAGTGTAAGCTTTTTCTAATCTGCTAAGTCTGGTAATCTATAGTGAGGATTATCAGCATGTTGACAATAACAATCATCAGCTGGCATTAAAACCTTTGAAGAAGTCACTCCGGGTACTTCTTGAGTTTGGACTTCTTTTCAGGTTCTTGGAGAAGTTTCACTGTTTATCCATCCAAGAGGTTTGTTCAGGTCTAAAAGCTGGTGGAGACTCTCAGGTATTTACTCGTTGTTGGAGAGTCACCTTGCAGAGGGTTCAACCCTATAATCATGAGAATCATTTGGGGTCACAGGGGCCAAGGTGGGAATCAAGGCGTGGGTCACTGAAGTGAATTTCTTATGAGTCGCTGATCGCTCTACAGTCATGTGAGGCATTGAGGCATTAGGAGCACATTGGCTAAGGTGTGAGTGGAGATTAAATTGGATGAGAAGGGATCTCAGGACAGCATTAAGTGGAATTTCTGGTGAAGCAGAGGTGGTGCGTTCACTGTCCACCGCAGTCTTGGGATAGCCTGTCTGCCTGCAAAAAGCTGATGTCAGATGGAGGCAGTGCACAAATGGAGGCCTGTATGTGGACCGACTAGTGTGTGCGTCACTCTTGCTTGTACTGCTGTTGGTCCATTCATCAACCGCAGAGAAGAGCGAAAGGGTTGCAGCGGGCAGATTTGATTGGTAACAACAATGAAAAGTGTCCGTGATTAAAGGTGTTGGTGGGACTAAAGTGCACCTACTTACATGATTACAGGGCGGCTCTGCGAGTCTCTGGACCGCCTGCAATGAGTCCATGAGCCTTTAGAACTGAAATATCCTCTCAGATGAAATGTGGAACATCTTTAATAAAATTTTAAAAAGGTGAATGAAACAAGGATTTAGATGAGGATTTTCTGAATGGTCACACAAAGTAAACTGACACCGTCCATTAAGACGTTTTAAAAAGTTTATTTGGGTGCTCATTTTGTTCATGATTTCCATGACATTTTCACTATTCTTACTTGAATAGACTGATTGGACTTCAATGGCATTTAGCATTAAGGACTTTGTTAGTTTGAAATCAGACTTATTTGAAATATTTAAATGTGGCTCCTCACATATATGAGAAGAAATGCGTGATTGTTTCAGATGATGGATGAAGAGGCCACCAAGCGTTACCTTCGGGTGAGCGACGTTGGGCTGCAGCAGGAACAGGCTGAGGTACCACCGACTGTTCACATCACACAAAACATCCACCTATTAAAACCACACACGTGGAGTCACGTGGCCTACAACTTTATCTTTCCTTCTATTTCTGCTCTGACATGGTAAAGAAAACACAACTGCTCCAGCCATCAAACTAGCCCAGTACGTGTGACCAGTTTGTCATCCAAGACTGGAGATGGTCACTTTAAAGTCTGTTTGAGATAACAAACTGACAGGGTGCTTCTTCTGTACCTGTGAAATCTCTCCCACACCACTGGCAGCTTGAACAGGTGATGTAAGGCAGGATGGATCCACGCTCTGACCCTGCCTGAATGTTGCAACAGAAACTGAGACTCATCAGACCAGGAAATGTTTGTCCAACCGTCTACTGTCCAATTTTGATGAGTCTGTGAATTGTAGCTTTAGTTCTTAGCTCTCTGGAGTGCACCCAGTGCAGACTTCTGTTGACTGTTAGCTTCAAAGTTCAACACGCTGTGCATTCAGAGGCGCTCTTCTGCATGCCTTTGATCTAGCGTTGCCTTCTTGTTAGCTTGAAGCAGTCTGACCTCTGACATCACTGAGGCATTTTCATCCAGAGACTTGAAGACCATTGGATGT